TAACGTCGGAGGCCTCAATAGTTTCCCCCAGAGGCTTCATCTCGGATACCAGTTTCTACGTGGCGTGGTCCGAACCGACGCAGCCGCACGACACGCACACGCACACGATTACGAGACCCGGGGATGAGACACACGAACTCCACCACAGTCGCCTTAGGTTGGTGTACCTTGTAGAGGGCGTGGACTTCGATGATCTTGGCGGGAATGCGGGCCTGCACCATGTCCATCGACGTGTTCCGCACTTCTTCGTGGAAGGCCGCGATCTCAGGATGCTCGTCCTGCTTCCTCGCCTGCGCGGCAAAGCCGCCACCGGTTGTGAACCAACGTGGCACGGGTCAGCAAGAGAGCTGACAGCGCCGTGCAGAACACAAAAAAAAATGAAGGGATGTGTGGTGCGGTCGTGTACCTCCTCGGCGGCGTTGGCCTTGTGCTTCTTGGCCGCCTTCTTCTTGCGTCTCTTTTCACCCGACCCAGCGGGCGCTTCGGCTTGCTCCTCTGCCTGCGGCTCCCCCTCATCTTCTCTAGGGCGCTTCTTTTGCCTTTTCTTGTTGTTGCTTCCAGCCTTTTCTTCTTCAGCGGGTTCTTCCTTTTCTTCTGTTTCCATCTTCTCCTCCTGTTCGGCCGCTGGGGCCTGGCCACGGAGTTCGCGCTCGCGATTGAGCTCAAGGGCGATCACATCGGGGGCGGCCTGGCGATCTGCGATGGAGTCCACCTCGTGTGCCAGCTGGTGCGTCACCTCCATCTCGGCTGCCAGTGCCGCCTCCACCTCCTCTGGTGTCTTGGGCACCTTCCTCCTCGTGCCGTGCGTGCCCGATCGATTCATTTTTTCTAATTTTATCCTCTATCTCGCGAAAAAATGTTGCATAAACGCCAAGAAATACGTATTTCTCTTTTTATTTTGTGGAAAAGAGAGAAATTTTGGACCAATTGCGGCGCGGTGTCTTTTGGCGCAAGAAGAGCTGGTTCCCAAAGCCCTCGTGCACGCGTGACGCAGCTGCGAAGACAGGGTTTGAAAAAAAGGAGGCGCAGCGTGTTAGGGCTTTTGAACAGGGGCCAAAAGCACGCAGTGTCACTAAGAGAACTGTCTCGACAGACGCAAAGCGACAAGCGACACGCAGTCCTTCGATCACCAACAAGATCCACTGCGGCAAAGAGCGATAGATTGAACATAGAAGAGCGGCTCTAAGCGAGTCACGCAGACACATATACACAATCATGACAGAAGATGAAGAGATGCCGGAGGACGCATACAAAATCAGCTGGGGCGACTTCGAGTGCATCGAGCCCATGGGGGCGGGCCTGTCCCCTCGCCTCGGGGGGCGAGAATTCAAGGCCGCCTGGTTCGGTACCGAGGTGGCCATCAAGGAAGTGAGCGGCCTCGATGGTCAGGAGGAGGACGCCCTGTCGGCCGCCCTCGAGGAGTTTCTTACCCTCAAGTACAGCTCATCTTGCCAATCCTTTATGGCTACGACAGATATTTTGTCACTAAACATCGATCATCTTCAACCCGCAGAGAAATCCGGCACCCCAACATCGTGCACTTCGTACATCTGCCCCTCTCCCCTCCTTTGTTGTGACGTGGATGGTGGGCTGAAGATGGGGCGGGGGCTGCAGATTGGGGTGTGCGAGACGGAGAGCAAGGTGTACACCATTTCGGAGCACCTCACAGACAACGTGTACCGGCTCCTGCACGACCCTTCGGCCGATCTCCCATGGCGGCGGCGCATCAAGATCGCCCTCGAGGCCACACTCGCCCTCACCTACCTGCACAGCAAGGGCATCATACATCGCGACTTCCGGTCTCGAAATCTTCTGGTACGCTCGTGCGTGTGTCTGTGCGGTGTGTGTGGTGAGTAACGACAACACATGGCAGTTGTCTGTGAACGGCCGGGTCAAGGTCAGCAACATGGGCCTGGTGCGAGGCGGACGTGGAGCGCCGGGGGACTGTAACATGGAGGCGGTGGCGCCGGAGGTGCTCATGGGCGACCTGCACGACGAGCGGGCCGACATCTTCGGGTTCGGGGTGGTGCTGTTCGAGCTCATCACGCGACGCAACCCGCCGCCGCGCAGCATCGGCACCAAGTTCGGGTTCGACACGGAGGACTTCACCAAGGAGCTCAACGACTCGCCCGGCTGCCCGCCGATGCTGCGCGACCTGGTGCTCCAGTGCGTGGCCACGAACCCGAACAACCGGCCCAAGCCGAAGACCATCCTCACGCTTCTCAAGGAGATCAAGCTCGCCGAGCGACGCGACGCGCAGCAACAGAAGATGATGCAGCGCCAGCGACAGCAGCAGCTGCTGCAGAGCGAGATCTCGGAGGAGGACGGCGAGGGGAGCGAAGGCGGCGGCGGGAGCAGCAGCGGCGGACCGATCACTCCGCTGGGGAGCGCCCGGCGGGGCAGCGTGCTGGTGATCTCGAGGAGCGACAGCGGCGCCTTCAACTCGAGTCCGCTCCTCAGCGCGCGGTCCAACGGCAGCGGCGGCGGCGGAAACGAGTACATGTACCACCCCATGCGCGAAGGGAGGGAGCGGGCCGCGAGCGAGCGGAACGTGCGACGAAACACGGACAGCGGCGGAGGGCGGGAGGGGAGCGGCATCGGGCGGAGCGGGAGCGGCATCTCGGAGTACACGGACAACGACGACGAGGCCGACGTCGGGTACTCGCGCGAAGATGACGCCATGCGGCGTCAGCGACTGAGCACCGAACGGAAGAAGCTGGACGACGGGCTCGGCGGCAGCGGCGGCGCTGACAGTCCCAGCGGACGGAGGAAGAACTCGGCGAGCAAGGAGGAGCGGCTGATGAGCGACGTGTTCGGCGACAAGCCCCTTCGACGAAGCCGGCGGAACACGAAGATCTTCGCCGAGGAGGAGGCGCTGGAGAGCATCTTCGCGTCGAACCTCGGGCGGGAGAGCAACACGCGACCACGGAGCCAAACGCAGGAGAAGCGCGAAGAAGGCCCCAGGAAGCGTCGAGAAACCACCGACCCAGACAAGTGCCTGCTGATGTAATGAATGAGGGGAAGAGCGGACACGCGGCGGCGAAAAGGAGGAGGAGAAGGGTACCTGTAGATAACGCATTAGTACACCAGTCCGTACCACTGAAAGTAGCAGTAGACACCTATACCATTGCACCCAACCTCACACCACCCTGCGCCAAGATTGCCTCCTGGAAGTAGGCCTAACCCCTTCCCGCAATTGGTACACAATCGCGCGACCATGCCAACGTGCGCGCCATGATGCCTGCTCTCGGCTTGCCCTTTGTCCCAATAAACTCGTAAGATGGGTGCACCCACATCTCTGCCACCTCTTCCACCAGCACGTCAGCCAGCTCGAATGGATCTATTCTACGCTGATAGAATAAATAGAGAGAAGAGGGAAGAGGAGCAAGAGGAGGAGAAGAGAAGAGACGAAGACACGACACCACTACCAAAACAACACGGTGTACGTTGCGGGTCGCTTGTATCGGCGCTGAAACTCCTCCAGGTTCTCGTCAAAGTGCACTTCCCAGTCGTCGTAGTCCATCAACTGCAGCAGCACGCGAATGTGTTGTTGTTGTTGTTGTTGTTGTTGTTGTTGTTGTTGTTGTTGTGAGAAACAAGCGCCTCAGCCATTACGTTGACCTTGCTACTACGATGCACGTGGAGCGTTGCGTACCGACTTGCACATCTGCAAAACTTGAGTGGCCGCGATCAAAGCCTCTTCGTGGTTGTCCTTGGTGGGCACGTTGACAAGATACAAGGGCTGGCCGTTCGGCGCCCCTCGGTTGAGCATGTCTGCATACGGTGGGTCAACTGCGAGTGTGAGTTTGTTTGCCAAACAGGGAGCAGGCGGAACGACTGGCCACACCTTCGTACACGGCCTCGAACACTCGCTCCTCAAACGTGATAACCATGTTGAAGTGCTGCTTTGCTTCGGCGTGCCACTGCTCGGGGGCGTTCTTGATCTTCATGTTCCTCTCCAGCATGTTCAAGACTCCATTTTGCTTGTACCTGAAGGAGCAGCGTGTGAGTGTGGGGGCAGTGAGAGGAGGATTGGCACAGAGAGATCTTTGGGGGTAGGTACAGGTCGTAATTCTGGGCTTTAAGATCTTCGTAGATGGTCTTATACGGTGTGCCGAAGGAGTAGACGTTGGGGCGATCGGCAGCGGGACCCGGCAGCTTGACGTGATTGCCGGTTCCGTACGATGACGCGCGGAAGCCATGCTTTGCCAATCGCAGATGGGCCTCCATGGACCGATTCATATTCGAGGCGCACACCAACGCCACCGTCGTATCCTGCATGTTCCGCTCCCTCTCCGCCATCTTCACTCGTTCGTTGATTGAATTTATATTAGAATTATATTTTATTTCTTTATAGATCTATCTTTTCTTTTCTTATTCTCTTGGGCACAAGAGGAGGCACAAGATGGAGCTGAAAGAAGGTGGCGAGGTGTCTACGGAGGTTGGCTGGGCGGAGGTGCCGGAGGGGATGCGCGCGTTCGTGGCGAGCAACGGGCTGCCGGCCGATGCCTACCAGCTGCGGGGGCTCTACCGCTTCGTGCGGCTCAACCCACGCCTCTGGTCCGCCAGAACAACCAGCCCCCTCGAGACTGCGGCAGTGCTCCAACGCGAGCTGGGCGGCGAGGGTGCGCTCGAGGCAGAGGCCGTCGAGTGGCTGCCCGGGTTCTACCGCCTGCCGCACTCGGCCTCAATCTCCGACTCTGACCTGTACAGCCACCCCCCCCCTTTGCTCTGTGCAACAACAAGGTGGTGGGCATGGATACAAGTGAGCTGATGTGTCGTGCACACAACTCGAGCATGCAGGTACAAGACGGGCAAGGTAAGGCACAGGACTTGAACCATTCTTACCCCTACACAACTTAGGCACTAATGCACGAGGATTGCGCCATGCCTGATGATGGTGGTGCCTCATCTGAGCAGATATATGGCATCGATGCCAGCTCGGGTGCCGCCGTGGTGGCGCTTGATCCGCAGCCGGGCGATAACGTGCTCGACCTCTGCTGCGCTCCCGGTGCGTAGGTGACCACAAGAAGAGCCCTTTTCTTGGCCAAGCCACAGGGCAGTGTTGGGGCTAACCCAGATGAGTGCTGCATGGATAACGTTGGTGCATTCCCATCAGGCGCCAAGCTATGCATGATCGCCGACATGCTGGCGGGCCAGGGCACGGTCACGGGCGTGGACATCGCCGAGGCGCGGCTCGGCGCCTGCCGCAACGTGCTCGCCAAGTACGAGATCCCCAACGCGCGCCTCGTCCTCCACGACGGCACCACCGTCAACGTGCTCGCACCGCCCCGGAAGACCATGGCTCTGGGCGCTGCGCCCACGGACAAGACGACAGACAACAACGAAGAAGAAGAAGAAGAGGAGGAGGAAGAAGCAGAAGAAGAAACGAAAGAGGGGCAAGAGGAAGAGGGCGAGGCCAAGGACGATGATGGAAGAGGAAAAACGTCGACGGGACGTATTTGCCGTCATGTCTCCAAGAAGAGGGACCGCGCCGAGCTGGCAGCGGCCCGGTGGCGAAAGAAGACGAAGCGGAAGCGAGTGCTCCCCGATGAGCTGCCCCACGTGTTCTACGCCTACCCGTACGATCTGTGCCTGACCTCGGCCAGCGCCCAGCTTTACGATCGGGTAGCGGTCTTCTCTCGAACGTTTGAGTCACAGTGTGGTGCGGTGCGGCCTCACCTGTGTGGTCTCTCCTCAACAGGTCATGATCGATGCCCAGTGCACGCTAGACGCCTCCGTACGACACATTCTTCACTATGGCAAGTTGGGCTGGAAGGACTTCACGCCTCGCATCACCGAAGAAACCGTGGATCTTCAGGTACCGACCATTCTCCCTCCCATAGGTCTCATCTGGCCTTAACAGTCGGTTAATGTTGGGTTTCTCATTCTCTCTCGGATTCGTCTGCGCAGAAACGACTCTTGGCCAACGGCTTCCGCCTGCTGGCTCCTGGTGGGTATCTGGTCTACAGCACCTGCAGCTTCTGTCGAGAGCAGAATGAAGGTAAGCGCCGTGCTGTTCTTACCGGCACGCCGAAGTAGCAAGGTTACTTGCGCTCACATGTGGCGCCTTGGCAAAAGACGTCGTGTCGTGGCTGCTCGAGCGTGAGCCCACCGCACGAGTGGTGCCGATCCCGGGCGCGGACCGGATGCCGTGCTCAAAGGGGCTGCTGCCCCACACGCTGCGCTTCTATCCGCGGGACACCCAGACGAGCGGGCTCTTCATCGCCAAGCTCACCAAGCTGGCCGAACCGCACGCCACCTCCACCTCAACTTCCTCCACCGCCGCCGCAGCCGCCGCGACCGACCAGGTCGAAGATGCAACCCGACGAGCAATACCATAGTGCGGTTCCCTGATTACATGTCGTGTGCGTGGCCTTCCAGCGTTTTATTATTTGTTGGTTGGTGCGTGCGTGGAGCATGCGCCACGTCGTGCTCGTGAGGTCACTGCGCAGTGGCTGGACCGATTGACGACCGCACGAACGCGAAGTAGCCGTCCGGACGAATCAGAACGGCGGTGAATTGCTTCAGGTGGCGATGCTGAGGCGGGACCTCGGCGACGTCGACCCGCTTCGACCACCCCGGAAACGCCGGCGGCACCTCCGCCGCGCGCCCTTCTCCGCCAATGCCGTCGCCGTCGCCGTCGCGGAAGCGAAGCTCAACCCACTGCGCGTCGTGGAAGAGCGAGTAGAGCGACACCGTCGTCGCTGTCGAGTCGGCGCCGGGCTCGAGCTGCAGGGCCATGTCGGGAAGCCGGCGGCCGGTGAGCTCGGGCGCGACAGTCCACCCGAGCGGAGCATCCAGCGGCGGACCCGGATAGGACACCCCGAAGCCCGTGATCTGCGCGGCCATCCTGCGGTTGACCTCCGGAATGCGAAGCAGCTGGTCCATCTCCTCGCGGAGGGCCATCGTGTCGGGCTCGCGGGCCGTGATCAAGGCCGCCTGCGCCAGGGTGTCGTGGTACAGCTGCTGGCCCACGGCCCGGCGCTCGGCGGTGTAGCTGTCGAGCAGCGACGCCGGCGCGAGGCCGCGCACCACCGCCGCCAGCTTCCAGCCCAGGTTGAACGCGTCCTGGAGGCCCACGTTCATGCCCTGCCCGCCGATGGGCAGATGGATGTGGGCCGCATCGCCGGCCAGAAGCACGCGCCCCTGGCGATAGCTCGCGGCGAGGCGGGTCTCGTTGCCGAAGCGCGACAGCCAGACGGGGTCGTGCATGCCAAAGTCCCGGCCGGCGACCCGGCGCGCCGCGGTGACGAGCTCGTCGAGGGTCACGGCCTCGGACTGCGGCACGCCAGTGCGCAGGTGGTCGATGACCACGGCGCGGTGCCGAACGCCGTCGCCCAGTGGGACCATCAGCAGGCACCCGGCGCTGTTGCTGATCACCAGCACGGGTCCCGTCGGGGGCGAATCGAGCACGACGTCGCCCAGCATGGCCGTGAGCGTCGTGGGCAGGCCCTCAAACTCGATACCCGCCGCCTGGCGCACCACGCTGCGCGCCCCGTCCGCGCCGACCACGTACTGGCACGTCAGACGCGACTGCTGATCGCTGCCGTGCGCTACAGTCACAATTACCGACGCGTCGGCCTGGTCGATGCCGATCACTCGCTGCCCACGGCGGACGATGACGCCCAGCTCGCGGGCCCGCGCCTCAAGCAGCTCTTCTGTCGTGTTCTGGTGCAGGAAGAGGGTATAGGGGAAGGTCGAGTCGAACACCGAGAAGTCCAGGCGGGTGTCGAGCGCTCCGTAGATGCCCGTGGGGACGGGCCGCCCCCGCGCGGTGAAGCGATCGACGATCCCGCGCAGAGCCAGGACCTCGAGCGAGCGACCGTGGATGGTGAGGGCGCGCGACTGAAGTGTTCGCGTCTCGCGGCGCTCGAGCACGGTCACGCTGAGGCCGGCCAGGCGCAGCTCACAGGCGACCATCAGCCCCACCGGTCCGCCGCCCACCACCAGTACGTCTACTGTTTGCTGTTGCTCGGTCATCGCACAAGTCAAGTACTTCAGCGTACACCCCCGACACACCGTTTTTAAATTCCAACCACCATAGTGTTCTCAGAACGGCAATGGCCCGCGGACGCTTGTTTGCCTTGGAAGGAAAACTCCCCACGGGCTATTTAGGGTTTGCCCTCGGAATGCCGCCGGCTTCTCAACCCCGTAGCAGAACTTGGACGGGTGGCCTTTGCCCAAACATTTCGAGAGTCCGCCTCTGCGAAGCCGCGGCTGTATGGGCGAACTGGGCTTTTATACCCCGAAATCCGGGCTTACTCAAGTAAGCCCGGATTTCGGGGTATAAAAGCCCAGTTAACTTGGTTCCGAAAGGCATTAGCCGTACGGCGGGCTTCAACTCCGTTGGCCGTAATTTCACGGGTGAGGCGTGTGCAGTAGCGGGTGGTTTACCTGAATCGAATCTCCCACCGCATGGGCTTCAAGTAAAACAATGAACCTCGCCACCGCCAATTGGCCCCCAGCTGGTGGACTCCGGTGATTCTAATCACCCGCGGCACATGAGACCACTAACGGCCACAACGTTGCGGGCAAAGCCAGTTCTATCATTCACTCTTTACACCTCCCACACCAACAACCAGTCCTCTACTCTCTCTCTCTCTCTCTTTCTTGACGCGACTGGTAACCCTCCGCCTCCCTAGCTTCAATCTTCGAATCTTACAGGACGCACACAAGATGTCGAGTGCTGGCAAAATCGTTGTGGGAGTGGGAGTGATTGTGGGCGCGGCGTTCGCGCTGGTGTGTATACTCAACATCGGACTCTACGGCGGGGCGATGGACCTCGAAGGCGGCTACTGCCAGGGACCGACCCGAGAGCGAGTCGGGGCAATGGGCATCGTGGCCGGGCTGCTCGGGTTCATCATCTCGTTGGTCACCATCGCAGCGCTCCTCCTCCCGCTCTTCTCTGCCGCCGCCGCGGAGCCGATGGCCTCGCTGCTGGTCAAGCTGCTTTTGCTGATCTGCATCTTCATAGTCATCCTCTTCTACCTCGCCGCGTGGGCGCTCATGGCCAAGGACATCCACGACTTCAACCGCTACGCAAACTGCGATCACCCGCCCCATGTGTGGAGCGCTGCGCTGGCCTTCGGCCTCTTCGGAAACATCCTCGCTATCCTCCTCTTCGCCGTCGTCGCCGTCGCCCTGGTCGTCGACCGCTCCGCTAGCGATGCCAACCGCGGAGGCTCGCGCAGCAAGTCCTCCGGAGGCGACAATCCGGCCCAGACCGAGTACTCGTGAGCCTGTCTCTCCACCTTTGTTCCCACCTGCACCTCGTACATAAATTAACACTTTTATCAGCACCATTTCTTGGTTGGAATGCTTGGAATGATGGTAAGAAGGCACGCGGTTGTTCGTGCGCTTTCATTGGCCGCGACAACAAGGCGACGGCAGCTTCTGGTTTTCGGATGTTGGTTGGTCCACTGCCGGCAGTGGAGTAAGAAAAGAAGAACGACCTACGAACGAAGCCACAACACGCCCCGCAAGCGCGACCACACCACCCACAACGGGCTGACTATCTCTTCCTCTTGGGTGTATGTGGAGAAGCAGAGCCAGGCGAAAAAGAGAAGGTTAGGCCGCAACGCTCCTGAGTCGGGCCAAAGAACGAAGAGTAAAGAACGAAAAAGATGAAGCGTTCGTTGGGACAGAGTACTACCTCCGCCGGCGGAGGTCCGCCCTCGGAAGCGGAGGCGGAGGCTGTTCCCTTGTCGAAGCGTGAGTGGCTGCTCGAACGCTTCCCGCTCTTGTCCTACCTCATCTTTCCCATCTTGTGCATCCCGCCGTGCTACTGGCCCTTCTCGTGGCCGCGGCTCCGGCGCAAGAAGGTCGAGGGCCATCGGGTCCACCGGCGGGACTACCTCGACTACGAGGAGTGCACCCTCGAGAAGCGCCTCAACAAGGCGGCCGCCCGGCAGTTCATCATCGACAACGACCTAAGCGGGTTCGCCGACGTGCGCTACTTGCCAGGTGACCTCAACTCCGATTTTCTTATTTCTATATTTTTCCAATTTAGGCCAGAGCATTAGTAATTGTTTATTATTATTATTATTATTATTATTATTATTATTATTATTATTGTTATTAATTATCTACATATAATTAGTGTTGAATGTTATCTTTGTGCGTTTTGGCACAACATTGCACATCACTAACTCCGACCCGTGTGCACACAGAGGTCAAGAATGACGTCGTTCGGCTCATCTACCTCACCACCATCACTTCCGTCGCCGACGGCAGGCTGCCCTACACCCACCGCCTCAAAGGTGACGCTATCAATTCTATGCCGCCCTCACCTGTGCCTGGGCACCGTCGATGTCCCTTCTCGTTGTTTTGTGTTCACAGCCGCGGCACTTGCGACAATGTCTGCAGACATCTTCAAGATCAGCGCCAAGGCCGACTTCTGGACGGTGCTGTGCCTCAACCTGGCAATGGTCTTCGTCCCCCTCTTCGGCCTGGTGGCCCTCTTTTCCGCGCTCGCCTTCATCGATGCGCTCTCTGCCAGTGCGCGCCCGGCCCATTTCTTTGTGGTGGTGATGGTGGAATGAGGGTGGGCTCGTCTCACTTCGTTGGTCGCAGAGGAAGCGGTGCTCGTCCCGGCAGCGCTGGCGGCCTTCTTCACGTCTGTGGCCGGACTGCTGAGCCTGATTGCCACCGGTACCACTCGAACCAGTCACGATCAGTTCTTACATCGCGGTCCACAATCCAAGCTGAACCTTATCCTGCTCGCAATCGCAACAACAGGTTCCAATCCTCACTTCGCTTCGGTGGCGGCCAACGAGAAGCAGAACGCGCTGGTCGAGCTGGAAAACGACTTCGCTTCGTTGGCCATCGACTTGCTCAAGATGTACAAAAAACCTCTTCCCATCATTGTCACCGGGTGTGCCACGTCTCACTCGACACGGCCGTGCCTGGTACCAGGTACTACTCTCAGGACCGGGCGTCGCAGGACTTCGCTCGGCGCATCGCCCGCGGGCTCAAGGTCGGGGTACTGCGCGACCTTCTCGCCAAGCAGACCGAATGGAACTTGACCGAACCGCTGAGGTGGGCGCGCCTCTGCACATGCTTAGAATAATTTGATGGCCTGACACTATAACTGGCACCGACAGGGAGGCCAAGCGGTTCATATTACACAAGAACGTGTGCTTCCACTCGACCACGATTCGATGCTACCTCACCGGGGAGCACCGCCACGAGATCAAGCGACGCAAGGCCCTCTCCAAGGCGGAGAACTACTTCAAGAAGCTCAACATCCCCACTCGTACAGTCTTCTCTCGCCCTCGCCCTTTCGCTTTCGCTTTCGTTTCGTTCTTGCTTTCGCTCTCTCGCATGTTAACGAACTCCTTCAGTTGAGGATGACTGTCTCTCGAGTGACGGCGGCATGGCGGACATGGGCTCCGACACGGACACCGAATGGGAGGGCGACATGGCCGCTCTCGATTCCACTCCACCGCCTCCCCCTGTACCCCGCGCCACAGGCACGCACCACCCGCCCTCATTGGCAAGGCCTGGCCACGACACCACCCTAACTTCCCCTCATCATCGACCCACCTCCGTAGGCGTAGAGCCGGTGGGTGACGAGCTCGTGTGATTGATCCGCCAATGTGCACCACCAACAAGATAGCTTGTTGGGCGCATTGCAATGCAGAGAAAATAAAAATAAAAATAAAAATAAAAATAAAAATTCAACCAAAGGCACATTTTCCGGGCCATTATCGGACGAATGAAAGGTTTCGTCTGGAAGGCTGAAGAACCGATCTCTTCACCACGCCAAAAGGGCTCATGTCAAAAACGAAGTGCGCTCGGGCCGTGAGAGTAGGCGACACCATCCTCATCGGTACCCCCCCCCCCAATCACCCATCCAACGCGCCCACGGCCCTCGTACAACAGCCAAAGGCGACGGCCAACTGGTGGCGCTCGACAGCTCAGGCAAGACCGTCACCGACCTCACAGTGCCGATCTCCTCTCTCTCTGTTGGCTGCCGTGCCTGCGTGCTCGAGTGGCAGTGTTGTGTTTACCACTAATGGCACCCGTGGCACAGATTGTGTCGAACACTCTGCGCCAAGGCATCAAAGACGCGTACGACGAGGTCGAGGAGGTGTCCCTGTGCGTGGTGCGCTGCATGGGCCAGCAGGCGGTCACCGACTACGTGGTGGCCAATCGCAATCTCCGTGCCCAACCAACAGAATGAAGCCTCGTCGCCATCTGTTCTTGGTGATGCTGCCCCACCATCCGCTTCCTGCAAGGTCTGAAGAAATGCAAAAAGAAAAACAAGGAAAACAAACATGAGCCCGCTCAACCCCTCTGCAGTACCCCCCCCCCTTCTTACCTAACACAAGCCCACACCTAATGCACCCACGCAACTCATCACACCGCCTTGCAAGTGTGCTCACGTGCGGTATGCACGGGCCAGCAGGTGGTTACCCGCTACCGTGGTGGCAACTGAAGTCTTTTCAAGATCGACCAGCTTGCGCATCCACTTCTCTAGAGGTGGCCTAGGTTGGAAGCCGCCCTTCACCCTCTTCAGGAGTCCCTGGTACGTCCGTGCAATGATCAACAAGACAACCCCAGGGGGCCAGTACCCTCTCTGCTTGTCTTCATTCCTCGCTCACAGGACCTTCCGTCTCTTCTCTTTGGGCACCTAACGCGGCTCAATGCAGTGTGCTGGTGTCGGTACTGTGATCATACTCCCTCATGCTCCGCGGTATTCAAACGCAATGTCGCCCTCACAGTCTGCACCATGTTGACGCCCATGAACAGGTTCCGATCTAATGAGTGGTCTTGGCTGCGAGTGGGGGACATAAAACTAGTTCGTTAATTCCGGATTGGACAGCCCTATCCGGATCATCACAGCAATGCGATGATCACAAGGCATGACTCCACCATTAAGTCAATTGGCCGTTTATTGGTAGATTCGAGTGACCTTTCACCTTTCGCTAATCCTCAGCATGTTCTGGTGCTGTAGGCTCTTGGGCTACAACGGCTTCCATTGCTACTGGGCTCAGCACTCAATGTGTACGTCTGGCTTTCACCTGACATTCCACCCGCTCGCACCTCCCTCAGCATGTTACTCCATGGTCAGCCCTGGCGTGCTCCACTTTAAATAGCTGACCGCGAGCGCTCTTTCATACTCATCCATTCTTCACGACCACCAGCCCTACTACCTACAGTACTCCGCACAGACAGGTCAGTCATACAGACACACAAGTGACTTGACACGTTCGCCATGACCTCGATGTGGTCGCGGTCCTCTATCATCATCGCTCTGTTCGCTCTCTGCTGTCTTTGCTCCATCGTACGTGATTCTCTTTGATTGAACGCACTCGCCATTCCCGTTCTAACTCGCTGGTGTGTTATGGGTTGCGTATGCAGACAATGGGCCAAAAGCCCACATCGGTACCCCTGGCGAAGTGGGTCCAGCCGTTGGTCAAGCCGCCTGTGCTCTCGCCCTACTGCACCAGGCGCGGTGTCGACAAATACGTGGTGACCATGAGCGCCATCCAACACCGCCTCCATCCCGACCTCAATCTCACCCAGGCAAGCCTCCTCTATTCATCAACCGCCGCGATCATGTTTCGCTCCACCTTCGCTTCCGACCGCTCATCTTACCATGTCCAACTAACAAAAAGGTGTACGGCTATGCTGGCACGTATCCCGGCGGCACGATCGAGGCCGTTGTGGACCGGCCTGTGGCCGTGACGTGGCGCAACCACCTGCCCGACACTCACTTCCTTCCCACCGAGCCCCTGGGCCACCGTACGACCACTCCTCGCCTCGCAAGAGTTCGCGCAACTGGTGCTGACGCCAGGCGGTCGTGATGGTGGTATGCAGTGGGCTCTGAACCGGTGCCGGACTCGGCCGCGGTGCCGCACCTGCACGGCGCGCACGTGCCCCCGGACAGCGACGGCGACCCCATGGTCTGGATCACGCGCGGTCAGGACGCTGACTTCTACTACCCCAACGGACAGCTGGCCACCACCATGTGGTACCACGACCACATCATGGGCCGCACCCGCGTCAACGTCTACGCGGGCCTCGTCGGTACCTTTATCTCTTCCGAGGAAACGCATGTCGACACCTATATTCCTCGAATTCTGAGCTGATCGGCCGTGGTGCCGTCACGTAGGGTTCTACCTGCTGAGGGACGAGGACGAAGCTGAACTTGGGCTGCCCAGCGGTGAGTTTGAGATGCCGATCTTGATCCAGGACCGCATCATCATGAACAACAGTCAGGTACCTAGAGCAATTCTCACTCTGCTTGACTAGCATGGACCGACATTGACTGTGTTGACCGCGTTGTTTCCCCATGCTGTGCCCTGTGAAGCTGTACTATCCCTACACCTGGGGCGGATTCGATGGCGACACGCCGGTGGTCAACGGGAAGGTCTATCCCTACTTCGAGGTCAAGCCCCAGGCCTACCGCTTCCGCTTCCTCAACGGCTGCAACTCGCGCTACGTCAGCTTCTCCCTCCCGCACGGTCCCACCATGTGGCAGGTACGCGTCACCAACATCGAATCAGCCAACCAGCACTCTCTTATTTTTTATGCAATCGCTTCACAGATCGGCACCGACGGCGGCTTCTTGAACAAGGCGATCGAAGTGCAGAACCTCACGCTCGGTAGCTCGGAAAGGGCCGACGTGATCATCGACTTCCGCGGCTACGAGGGCCGCAGCCTCATCCTGACCAACCTGGCCGGGCAACCCTATCCTTCGGGTACCCCTTCAATCTCTTAGACCAACGACTTCGGCTCCGCGCGTCTGACCTGCTCGTCCACCCAGGTGCGGTGTCTGAGACCATGAAGGAGGTCCTCCAGTTCAGAGTGGCCAGGCATGGTACCGCTCTTACTCTGGAGCACTGGGCTGGCTATGGTCAGACCGAAGCGAACTAAAACAACTTGCGCAGGTGCCAGTGGTGAGGCCTACAAGATTCCCAAGCTGAAGCACGTGGCCCAGCTCCCTCGACTGCCCTCGGTCGACACCCTGCCTGCGGGGTCTATCGCGCAGGTGCGCCAGGTGACCCTCACCGGACAGATCGTCAAGGAAGGCAACAAGAGTGCGTCTCCACCCACGCATATAAGTGTCATTTGACTGCGTTAGTGAACAGCCACCTAACGTCAACTGCACGGCAGCTTCGTTCATGATGCTCCTGAACGGCAAGCGCTATCACGAAGAGCCGACGGAGACGCCCGAGGTGGACACGGTCGAGCTGTGGGAGATTATCAACCTGACTGGCGTGACCCACCCGGTCCACATCCACCTCACCCAGTTCCGCGTGCTCCAGCGCCGCCCGTTCGCCGGCACCACCTTCACGCCCGGCGTGCCGCTCAACTACACCGGCCCGGCCCGACTGCCCGACCCCAACGAGCAGGGCTGGAAGGACACCGTGCGAGTCTACCCCTACGAAGTCGTCACCCTCTGGGTCCCCTTCACGGTATGCCTACATGCCTACACCGTGTGCCTCATGTGCCTGCGCGTGTGTCGTGTGTTTCGTGTGTGTCGTGTCGTGGCTAATGGTAGTGTCTGGTCTCAAAGGAGTACACGGGGAAGTACGTGTGGCACTGTCATATGCTGGAGCACGAGGATCAGGACATGATGCGGCCTCTCGTCGTCCTGCCCAAGAAGCCGTGCGCCTGCGCCGCGCCCTCGGCCACGCCCGTGCCGACGCCCGCTCACGAACACCTCTTGAAGAGAGAGCTCTAGACGAGACCAAGAGGAGTCATCAGCCACGACGAGGGGGAGAGAAGGGTTAGAGAGTGCACATGTTTTATACAACTACACCAGATATCTGAGAGATGTCCGAACACGATAAAGATGAACATAGTCAAGTGTCAAGTGTCAAGTGGTCCGACACAGAAGGGCATGCGGCCTCCACGGCGTGGTGTGTGCTTCCCGCGGAGTCCAGGAAATTTCGACCTTGACCAAGCAAGAGAGTAGGGCCACATTGGCAAAGAGGATTCAACAAAATCAAGAATGCACGACGGTGGCGTGCATTTCAGCGTCAACTACGAAGATGAAGAACAAAATGAGGAGGTACGTGTTGCCGTTCTTCCTTTCGCATCGCTTTTGGAATTAGACATCATTTCTATTAAATCTGATTAAAAAACAAATGATGAATGAAGGACAAAATGGATGATGCTCACCCCACCTTGCCCACACGCGATGTATAAATCGTGCAATCATCGTGCAGCAGAGGTTGCACCACCGACACCACCAGGTGCACACCTACAGCGAGGTGAAGATCGAAGGCGACGACGAACACGTCGTCAACGAGGGGCGGAAGCGCATCGTGACGTACGTCTCCTCTCCTCTACCCCGCTACTGCACGTGTTGTGCTCTTGTCGGTGCACGTCGTGATATGGTGAGCTCACCTTGAGCCCTCGCCCCACACACGCTCACGCGCCGTACGGCAACGCGCGCGTGTGCACAGAACGACGCAAACGCTGGTGAACCTGGTGAAGGTGTACCTGGGCAGCGGCATCCTGGGCCTCCCCTACGCCTTCCGGGAAGGCGGCCTTCTGGTGCGTGCGCACTGGTGCCTCTGCGTACCCACATGATCCGCTAAGCTTCATTCGCTGATATCTCTTTTCGGTGGCTGGGTGGCTGGTGGACCCTCTCTCTCTCTCTCTCACTCTCTGCTCTCTCGCTAGACGAGCCTGTTGGTGATGGCCTTCGTCTCCGTAATCACGACCCACTCGATGGTCATGTTGGTGCAGGCCAAGAGGTTTGTGTTCCCTTCCCACACTCACACACACACACACACACACGACACACACACGGCACACACAATGCCATTTGGTGTGTCGTGTGCGCCCATTGATCGCGCCTCACGACGACACAGGCGGGCCGAGCAACTTGACCCACGAGTCGTGTCGTTCACGGACATCGCGTCGTTCACCTACGGACGGGTGGGTGCGAGACTGGTCGACTTCCTTCTCGTCTTCACTCAGGTGCACCTCCTCCACCTTCCCGCCGGCGTCAGTGCAGCGGCGTTGCTCGTTCATTGCTCTAACCGCAGTGAAATGGCGCTTTTTTTCTTCTGCAGTACGGCTTCTGCTGCGTGTATGTAGTCTTCCTTTCGCAGAACACCGCCAACTTCATCCCCAACTACGGCTGGTACGCCACACGCACCACGCACACCACCGCACCACCGCACCACCGCACCACCGCACCACCGCACCACCGCACCACCGCACCACCGCACCACCGCACCACCGCACCACCGCACCACCGTCACCACCGCACCACCGCACCACCGCACCACCGCACCACCGCACCACCGCACCACCGCACCACCGCACCACCGCACCACCGCACCACCGCACCACCGCACACAAGCGCACACGTACCAGCGCGTATTAACAGCGAAGCCTGACTCTTGGGTTGGTACGTAGGTATGTCGACTGGCGCATGGTGGTCGTGTGGTGGGTCCCCGTCCTCGTCATACTGGCCAACCTCCCCACGTACGTGGTGCTTCTTTAGCCCCCTCTTGTGATCATGCGCGCGCGTTCCTTCAAGGTGACACGCACACGCACACGCACACGCACACGCACACGCACACGCACACGCACATCTTTCGCAGGTTGAAGCACATGTCGTTCGCGGCGATGTTCGCCAACGTGGCCATCCTGACGAGCATCGTGGTGATCCTCACCGCCGCCTTCATCCAAATGGCCCACAAGTGGGGCGGAGATGATTCGCACCACCCCGAGCCACCGCACGGCAAGAAGGAGCCCTTCGCCATCGACTGGTGGATCGTGCCCGAGTACCCGCCCGCCCACCCACCTACCCACCCATTCACCTATGTCGTTCGTGCGGCTCATCGTCGTGGTGCTGTGATCACACAGAACCGCCGCTGTCATGTTTGGCATGGCCATCTACGCCTTCGAGGGAATCGGAGTGGTACGCAAAGCAGCGAGACTACGACGACCAGGTGTCGCATTATAAATTAATGAATATAATGTAAACATGTGGTGGTGGGTGGGTGGTGGTGGTGGTATTGCGCAAGTAGGTCATCCCGGCCGAGACGGCGATGAAGAAGCCGGAACACTTCACCCCGGCGCTGCTGGTGACCATGGTCGGCTCCTCCCTCAACTATATTACCTTTGGCCTGATCTGCTATCTGGTACCTCCCATCTCGCACACGCACACGCACACATGACATGCACGCACCACCGCACACGCACCGCCGCACACGTTCGCTCATTCGCTGATTGGCTGGTGATGTGGTGACAGGCGTGGGGCGTCGACACCAACACGCTGGTCACGGTCAACCTGCACGACTTTGCCGAGGGCAGCAAGCCGTGGGAGGTGCTCTCCATCCTCGTGACCGTGGGCCTGATCATCGCGATCGCGTCGACCTACCCGCTGCAGCTCTTCGTGGTGACCGACATCGTCGAGGAGGCCATGTTCCAGCCCGGCCGGCTGTCGCCCCGCTTCCGGCCACTCAAGGTGTTCGCCTTCCGCTGCCTGCTCGTACTGGGCACGGCCGGCATCGCCATCGGAGTACCGGACTTTGGCCTGCTCATCGGACTTATCGGTACCAAGAGGCGCACACGCACCACCGCATACGCACGACACGACACGACACGACACGACACGACACGACACGACACGACACGACACACTCACACACGGCTCGTTGTGTGCAGGCGCTCTGGGGTCGACGTCGCTGCAGTTCGTCTTCCCCGGTCTGTTCCACCTGAAGCTCTTCCCTGAAGCGCCCCTCTGGGCCAAGGCCATCTCCGTTTTCTACATTCTCTTCGGCTTGGGCGGTACGTGCCCACAACTTCTCCTGGTCTCCTTCATCATCATCATCGCCACCATAACTCTCACCGCCTTCTCTTCTCACCCTCCCACCATCGACAGGCGGCATCCTGGGTACCTACCAAACGGTGCAGCAGATCGTGGAGAAGTACACGGACTGAGTTGCATTATATCTTGATTTTTTTTATTCTCGCGTTATCCTGTCAGCTTGTGATGTTTGTGGAACGTTCCTTTCGCTTCTTCCCCTTGTTCGTCGTTGTCGTCGTCATCGTCCCCGTCATCGTCCTCGTCCTCGTCCTCGTCCTCGTCATCATTGTCAGCTTCAAGCAGGCAGTTGTTCTCGTCAGTGGGGTGGTGCGGGGTGGGCCTCTCATGGATTGGGACGTACTTGTGCTCCTGATCGCGCCGTCAAACTGCAGCGCTGCACTCAGCTTAGCCGCGGTCCCCTGACTTTGAATGGTGACCGGCAGTAGTCCTTGTCCTGATGCGACAGAGACCCGCCTGATCCTCACTAGCGATGTACTTGTCGCACCCAGCATACGCGTCGAGTTTGTGCGCCACGCTGTCCAGAAAGCTCCGCACCAGAGGCTCGGCGACGACTCCAACGCTCTTCCCCTTCGCGCCCGCACGATGGCGAGGCCAGCCTCCACGAGTCTGGCCATATCGCTCGATATGACCGCCATGGAGGCGGTAGCAGTAGTAGAGGAAGTGGACGATCTCGCTGCCGTGACCGCCACGCTCGCCGGATCGAGTAGTTTGTTGAGCGCCTCGTCGAAGGTATTCTCGATGAGCTTGGCCTCGGCCTCACCATGCGCCTTCTATCAAGAACGGTGCCGCGAAACTGCTCCCGGAAGCGGGGGAGAAAGCAGTCGAAGAAGAAGCCCGGCCGTCCGCACCACATGCTCAACCTGGAGCTGACCGCGCGCCGTTCTTCTTCGTCATCGATGCTCCTCGCCTCCATGGTCTCGATGACTTGCAGCAGCTCCTTGCGGGAGAGTGTGGTCGGGCTGCCTGCGTGTACCGGCATCCGCGTGGCATGCACTTCCTCTTCACCCCGCCTGACCGCGCTGTCAGCATGGCCCTGCTGCGAGAGAGCTCGTACCGTTGCCACCCCAGCACGTCTGCCGGATCCCATTTGTTGTAGTCCCACGCAACTCCCGCGAAAGAGCGTCGTTGCGGTCCCTGATGACTTTGTTGGCCTCCTATCTTCTGGAGCTCTGCCTTCCTTCACGAGGTGGCCCTCTGGTTGCGAGCTTTTATTGTTGAGGCTTACTTGGCCCCGTTGACTTCCCAGAGCCTCCGGAGCCACTTGGTGGCGTTGGCCACCAGGTCGGGGGCGTCCTTGGCGTCCTCGTAGCCCGGGCTGTACACCCGCATCATCTGCCCGAGCGTTGCCTCGCCAATCGGCTGCTGCACTGTCCCCTCCTCTTGAAACCGTTGGCGCAAGTCCTGATCCGGTTTCAGTGCAACGTGTGTGAGCCGCATGAATCGCACACGCGCGCGCATGACACACGTGACTCGCCGCACCTCGAGAAAGGCTTCGGGCTTGTAGGAGGCGAGTCGCTTCTCCACGACGCACACGAAGGCCGGGGTGGCGCTGTCGGTGACCAGCGAGCAGACCTTATAGAGCTTGTGGTTCTCGTACACCTCCCTTCCCTGCTTCCAGCCACGCTCCCTACGTGTGTCGTGTGTCGTTCGTGTGCGTGTGCGGTGGTGCGTGTGCGGTGGTGCGTGCGTGTGCGTGTGCGTGTGCGGTGGTGCGTGTGCGTGTCATAGTCGATGAGCGATGTGGCAATGGCGATATGATGGGGTCGGCCGTACTTGCGTCGGTGGAGGGCCTCCTTGACCAGGTTACGAAAGACCTTGTGCTGGTCGCTCCAGTGCGGGAAGCAGTGCTCGAAAGGACTCGCACCTTCGCTCTCCCGCACGATCGCGGCGTAGAAGATCTCCTCGTAGAGCGTGCTGGCCCGCTTGATCGCTTCGATCCACTCGGCCATCACCTGGTGTGCATGGTCATCATCATCGCCGTGACCATCGTTGCCGTCGTCATGGGGGTGTGTGCGGGGCTCGAACGGCGTACCTCGGGGTCGTGCGAGAGGATGACATAGCGGTGGGGCTGCGCCCTTCCGATTCGTCTCTCGAAGAGCGACACGAAGCCGTCCTCGGCGGGCTCCACCACACACCCATCCAGCTCTATGACAGACACCGGCCACCTGGTCAGCTACTCGCACACGCACGCACACACACGCACACGCACACACGCACACACGCACACGCACACGCCACCGCACACGGGGGAGAAGCCAAGAAGAGAAAGTTGAAGTACCGATGATGCGGCGAGGGACGTCGTCTTGTGGTGAACGGTAGTAGGCCAGTCGGTTGCGCCTCAGCCGAAAATACCTCCGCTGCGTTATTTTTATTATTTAAAAAAATAATAGGCAGCAATATTATTTATTTAGAATTGTTTTTAATTTCAAATTTAAAAAAAGTGGGGTGGGTGCCTTGGGTGACTTGACGAGGTAGCCCGAGAGCTTGATGAGCCAGCCCTCCTTGGAAAGCTGCTGCCCAACCGACCCAACGTCTCCTCCAGGAGCGGTGGTGGTGGAGTGGCGCGCGGTGGAGGAGCCCGCTTCGTCGTCCATCTTCAACAGCACAAGAACCACAAACAAAAGTTGTGTGTTGGTTGTGAATTATAAAAAAAAATGGGACCAATCACAAAGAGGCAGGAACATGTGCGAACGCAACTTGTCGGGCTATGTACATTGCAATGCGATGTGGATTGGGGGGGGGTAACGACATGATAGAATGATCGGCTCTCTGAGCCTTGCGGGACCTGGTTGGCTCAGGCGCTCATGGCCTCGAAGTCTTGGCCGCTACGCGCCGGTAGTGGTTCGCTCATGCTCGCCGACAGCAGCTTCCGCGCCGCAGCTCGCTTGTTCATCACCTGCCTACGCATCGTCATCATCACCATCAAGAAGAAGAAGAAGCGTAATACTGTTAGTTGACTGCAATGTGGGCATGCTGTGGCGTTTGATAGGTACCGAGCGATCTGTTGGCCTTTGCTGAGCTCTCGCAGGTCGCGCGGTTGGAATCGCGTGAGCGTCGTGTCGGCTGTGCAGAACGTGGTGAGCGTCAGCAAAGACCAACTTCAAGAAAGAAAGGAGCCAGCCAAAGGGTGGCGGGTGGCGGGTGGGTGGGTGGGTGGTACGGAGGCAGTCGGGGTTGGCGTGGAAGGTCATGGCCTCGAAAAGGGGCTCCAAGGGCACGAGCCCCGAGGGCTTGACCAACGAACAGAGGTACTCTGGCGAGATGAGCGGCAGCCGCACGAGGGGCACCAGCGCCAGCGCGTCCAGGTGGCGGCTCTCCGGGTCGATAGCGCGCCACTTGAGCAGCAGCTTGAACAGTTCCACCTGTCAATCCAATGCGAACGCTACGCTTAGCAGTCCAACGACACGACACGACACGACACGACACGACACGACACGACACGACACGACACGACACGACACGACACGCACCTCGCCGATGCATAGCTTGGACGAGCGAAGGATGGCAGCGATGATGGGGCGAGACTGGGCCAGGACCTCATCCGAGTCGAGGAGCGTGGCTGCGCTGGGGCCGATGACGCTCAGGCACTGTTCCCGCAGAGCGTGGTCGTCGTAGAGGCACGCCACCTGCAGCAGGCACATCACGTTCCTCTGGTCCACGCCGCTCTGCAGCATGCCCGAGCAGGCCTGCGATGCTCACACGGGTCAGGCACTGCCGTGTGCGCGTGCGTGCGTTGTGTATCGAGGCGCACCTCGGCGAGAGGCTGGACGGCGTAGGTGTGGGCGACGCGGAAGAGCGGCAGGAGGTCGTCAGGTTCGACGGAGACCTCGCCGGTGTAGAGGAACCGCTGGAGGTGCCCGAACACGCGCGGCTCTATCTCGGGCAGCTCCACCTCCGCCTTCCTCGCCTCGCCGTCGATGCTGCTCTGTTGCTGTCCCTCTCGCATGGGTCCAAACAGCATCGCTACGCGCCGGTCTAGGCGTGAGCAGGTCGAGATTGATGGATGATGGAGCAGCATAAGAAGATGAGAAGGTACCGTGAAAGGGTTCGGACTGGGCTGCGAAGAGGAGGCGATGACCGAGGAAGGAGCGGCGCTCCCGTCCAACGAGGAAGGTGACATCGCTCATCGATGCGTAGCCAGAGCTGCCGCTGCCCTCGCCAGCCACCAGAAGGCGACCAAGGCTGTGCTGCAGGCTCTCCACCACCGAGATGCGACAAAATGACGTTGAAGGAAGGGCATCTCTTTGCATTGCGCCGCCGCAGCCTCCTCCACCTTCGACGCTGCCTCTGCGCAAGGCGGTAGCCGTGTTGCTTCTCTTCAATTCCAGGCCCCGCTGGCTCAATTTCTCCATCTCTATCAAAAACTAATCGAACTGTTGACCTTGTTCTGCACGGTCGTTCACGCGTGTCTCGTTGTTCGTGCTTCTTCACGAAAGAAGAATGGACCACCTACTTGCGTCATTGTTGATTCGAAATGGAATCACGCAACATCGCCAACATCCAACACCGTGGGCTGCCAGCAAAAACAGCGGAGAGTTGAGGGAAAGGCGCGCTTTATCAGTGTCGACTTCAACTCACCACAAGGTGTTTCACGCGCTCTTCTTCATCATCGGCGTCCCCTCAACCCTCGATTCACCTCTGCCAAAAAAGCACCACCGACACTTGGCAAAGACAAGAAGCAGCTGTTGGCGCCATCACCTCTTGTCTATTGTCCTAAAGGGTGGTTAAAAAATGAATGCAAGACCATCGAAGCTGGACTGCGTCGGGCCTAGGCCCTGGGCGGTGCCACAGCCGAGGCGGCGATCGCTGGCGGCGGCGATGATGCGAGCGGGTCCCGCTTGCCGCCGCCCTCGTAGCACTCGTGCAATCGATGCCAGATGTCCTCGAAGGTGGGCCGCTTGAGCGGGTCCTGCTCCCAGCAGTCCTCCATGAGCTGCCGCCACTTGGGCGGACATCCGGGCGGCACCGGGGGCCGCTTGTACTCCTGCGTCACCCCGAGCGCGATCGGGATCGGGTCCTCGCCCTCGTACGGCTCCTTGCCCCGCGTCACCAGCTCCCACATCACTATCGAGAAGCTGCACACACATATGAACGATCGTCAGCTCAAGCACAACACACGCACACGCACGACACGCACGACACGCACGACACGCACAACTGCACACAGCGGAAGGAGACGGTACCTGTAGGCCTCGGTGCGCTGGTCGTATCGGTTGGTGGTGATGGCCTCGGGGGCGAGCCACTTGATGGCGCCCAGCCCTCCCGTGGTCTTGCCGTAGTTCTGGGCCTTGACCGCCCGCGCCAGACCAAAGTCCGTCACATGCACTACACGTACCGCACACAAGCATGTGAGCGTGTGTCGTGAGTTCTACGCGTGTGCGTGCTGCGTGTGCGGTGGCGAGTAGGTACCGTTGCAGTTGGAGTCCAGGAGGAGGTTGCGCGCGGCCAGGTCGCGGTGAATGATCTTCTCCTTGTGCAGGTGGAGCACGCCGGCGGCCGCTCCGATGGCCATCGACACTATCAGATCCCACGGAGCGTCCGGGTGCTTTTTGAGGTAGTCGATGACGGTGCCGTTGCAGTAGTACTCGCTCACAATGCAGAAGTACGGCTTGAGGGTGACGCCGCAGAAATAGGCCACGTTGGGATGGTTCGACACTCGCCTGCCGCACGACACACACGCAACACGCACGACACACGCCACGACACGCATGAAATGGTTGGTCCTGTGTTGCAAGAAAGAGAGGGGAGAGAGAGAGAAAGAGAGAGAAAGAGAGAGAAAGACGCACTCCATGATCTTGGCCTCTTGAATGAACTCCTGCACCTGCTTGGGGTTCAGCTCCAGAATCAACTGCAAAAGAAAAGAAAAAAGAAAAGTTAGCTCGTGCGTGTGGGAGAAGTGGTGCAAAGAGAGGTCCCACCTTTTTGACTGCCACGTTGGCCCCGCGCCAGATTGCTCGGTTGACCGCGCCAAAGGCGCCGTAGCCGATGGGCTCCGCAAACTCGATGTCCTCGAAGGGAATGGTGCGGGTGGAGTGTATGCTTCGCCACTCTGAGTCCGGGTCGTCGTCATCGTCCTCGGTGGCAAGCTCCTCCCCCTCGTCCTCCTCATCGTCCTCCTCCTCTTCGTCTTCTTCATCTTCGTCCTCTTCGTCGTCATCTTCGTCATCATCGTCGTCATCCTCATCGTCGTCATCGTCCTCCTCATCATCGTCCTCCTCCTCTTCATCCGACGACGAATTCTTCGTCTCCTCCGTATCAGCCTCCACCGCGCCGCCCATATACTCACCTGCGCACACACCGCACACGACACAGCCCCTTACGGGGTAAGCGCCCACGCAAGCAAAGAACGAAAAAAACGAAGAAAGAAAGAAGGCAAGAAAGAAAGCGACGCGGTAGGAACGAGTACCGAGTTGGGTCTGGACCGAGGACTTGAGGATGTGCGTCTGGAGCTTGTTCTCGTGGACCTTAATCTTGAGCTCGTAGTTGCGCGAGATGAGCATCTTGACCTGCGACTTCAGGTACTCCACCTGGGCCGCCTCGTCCGCCTGCAGCTTCACCAGCTCCGCCCGCTCCTCCTCCTCCTCGCGCCGCACCTGCTCCGCGGCCTGCCGCCGTCGCCGCGCCAGCACGTCCTCCTCGTCCTCTGTCTCCTCCCCGCCGCCGCCGCCGCCCCCTCCCAGCCCCGCCGCCCCGCTCACCGCCGCCGCGTCCTTCTCCGTCTCTGTCTCCGTCTCCGTTTCCATTTCGCCCTCGTCCGCAGTGGGCTTGGCCGGGTCGGCCGACGCGGAGGTGGTGGAGGTGTCGGTGGCGTCGGTGGAGGCGCGGGAGGAGGTGGTGGCGGTGGAAGTGGCGGTGGCGGCCCTGTGGGACTCGGACTCTTCGCGCATCCGCTTGGCCTTCTCCTGGCGCTGGACCAGGCCCTGCAGCATCGACTCCCACTCCTCGTCCCCTCGGTTGTCATCCTGCGCACGCCAATCAACGCCGCCTCGCATGAGCATTGCACACTACGCAACACACACACGCACACGCACGCACACACACACACACACACACACAACAGCATGCGACGTACAGAGACGGTGAGGTTGACGAGTCGCGGCGACTTGGGCGGGAGGGTGGCCTCCTGGCTCTTGCGCTTGTCGGCGGCGAGCTTCTTGCGTTCGTCCATGACCTCGCGCAGCCACGACTTGTCCTGCTCCTCGCGCCCCGACAGCACGTCCCACGCCCGCCGCCCGCCCGCCGCGCCGTCGTCGCCCGACGACGATGTCGGCACCTTTTCGCCGCCCGCCGCCGTCGCGGTACTCGCTGCGGCCGTTACTGTCGGCAATGCCCCGCCGCCGCCGCGCGGGGTCCGCTTGCCCTCGCTCTTCTCCCCGCGTCGCTTCTTCCGCTTGGCCTTTTCCTTGTCCTTTTCCTTATCTTTTTCCTTTTCTCGCTCACGCTTTTCCTCCTTGTTGCCCTTGCCGCCCTTTTTGGCCCCGGCGGTGGTGAGGTGGCGGCCCGACGACGACGCCGAGGCCAGCTCCTCCTCGAAGTAGGACGTGGCGTAGCAGCCGTAGCCGGTCGGCAGCCGCTCGGACGACTCGCCAAAGACCTTGGCCAGCTTGCGCACCGACTGGTCCTTGTTGAGGTCCGAGTAGACCCGCTCGGCCTCGCGCCGGCGCTTGTCCTCCTTGGCCTTCTTCTTCAGCATCTTGCTCACCCGCTTCTTCACCCGGTTCACCTCCATCAGCTCGTGCTCGAACAGCCGCCGGTAGGTCTCCTCGTCGACCGACGCCTCCTGCTGGGTCTGGCCCTGGTGCTGGTGCGGGTGCGGCACAGAGGCCCCGCCGGCCATGCCGCCGGCCAGCATCATCAGCGTCACCGTGTCGACAGCGTCTGTCGACAGCTGGTGCGGAGGGTGTGTGTCGTTGGGCCGCGCTGCGGCGGCGGCGGTGGTCACGCGCGGCGAGGTCAGTCCGCGCGGCGACGGCGGCGGCGTCGAGGTGTCGGCCGCCGTTGGTGGGGTGGCCTGGTTGTTGTGAAAGCGCGGCGACGTGCGCGGGTACTCACCCGGGTAGTGGATGGCGGCCGCGCCGCGCTGGAGGAAGGCCTGGAGCGACGCGAGCTTGCCGCCGCTCTCGGGCGACTTGGTCGTGGTCGTCGTAGTGGTAGTCGTGGTGGACTCGTCCACCCCGCCGCCGCCGCCGTCCCGGCTGCCGCGCATCGGCCGGTTGCCGTCCCGCTTCGAGTCGCTGCGCTTGATGGCGTCGCGGGGTCCGACGGCGGCAACGGCCGGATCGTCGTCAACGGTGTCGACATCGCTGTCGTTGCTGCTGCGGAAGCCCTTCTTGAAGCTCTTCGATCGCTTGCGCCGCGACGACTTGTCCCCGTTGCTCTCGCGGTCCGACGTGTCCTCCATTCCGTCAACCGAAGCACTCTGCTCGCACCACACGACACACACGACACACACGACACACACACGACACACATACGACACACACAACACGCGCACGATGAGAATGGCTGGCTGGGGGTGGAGCCGAGGCAGGTGACGTACTCGCTCCTTGTCCTTCTTGCGTCGACCGGTGAGTCGCAGGAGGGACTTCTTCTCCTTGTCCTTGGAGGAGGACAGGCCGCCGGCCGATGCGTCGCCTCGCACTGACGGCGGCGAGTTGGGCGCCGACAGCGCCATGCTTCGCTTCTCTGCTGGGGGGGGGAGGCAAGAGAGTGAATTATTATTCATTGTTATTTTTATTAGTATTACAAGAATATAATAAGAAAAATAAATAGAAAAAACGAGATGGTGCTGTGTAAAAGATGAATTAAATATAAATAAATAAATCTCTCGATGAATTGGGGCAAATTTGCGAGATTGGCTTTGTAGTGGCGAGGGGGGGGCAGAAACCCAGAAGCGCGCCGCTGGCGTAGCGCGCCATGGCCACCTGGATGAGGCTCAGCCCCGAGCCGCTATGTTCCATCCCACGTCTCTCACCCTCTATTCAATGGCTATTATATTACTTATATAATGGGGTGGACGTTGTGAACACGACCTGACCATTTGGGGCCGCCCCAAGGCCCTAATTTGTCCCTTTGGCCGACATTGCGCGAAACAAGCGCTTTTGCAGCCAAATAAAGAGGCGAACGCGAAGAAGAGTAGAAGAAGAGCTGCACGAATGGAGTTGCGTGTGTTGTGTGAGGGACGGCGAGCGGTACCGATCACCGGGAGGTAGTCGGCTGTGTGGCTCTTGGGCATGGGCAGACGCGCCGACATCACCGGCGAGTTCCCGCGTTCTGTGGTGTCAGGTGAACGAACGAACGAACAGCGCGGGGTGGTGAGAAGGCCACGCTGCTGTGCGCCTGCTGAGCTGAGCTGAGCTTACGGTGCGGGCGCGGGGGGGGAGGGTGGACGTACGGGGGCTGGGCGGGGTGGAGCTGGACTTGCGTCGCTGGAGGCTGCCCAGCGGGATGGCGAGGGACTGCGAGAAGGGGATGAACGACAGCGACGACGAGGGCGACGAGGGCGGCGACGAGGAGACGGCCGGCAGTGACGGAGATGAGTGCGACGACGAGATGACGGTGGCGGTGGTGGTGGCCGAGTCGAGCGAGGCCAGCAGGGGCGCGGACAGCGAGCCGGCGCCGCCGATCGTGAGGCCGCGCTCGATGTGCGATGACGATGTGGTCTTGTTGAGCCGCTTGTTGTTGGCCTTCTTGCCGCCGTGCTGCGGCTGCGGCTGCGGCTGTTGCCCTGGCACGGCCGGCAGGTCGGGCGACGAGAACCGCTCGGGGATGCTGTGGCCGAGCCGGTCGAGCAGGTGGTGGCCCGCATTGTAGACGTGCCCCGAGTCTGACATGCCGGCGACGCCACTGCCGCCGCCGACGCTGGTCTGCGCATGTACGTGGTGGTGGTGCGTGGTGTCTACAGTATTGACAGAGTCGACGAGCGCGTAGGCGCCGCTGCCGCTGGGGTCGGCTGACGCTGCGCCGCCGTACTCCTCGTCGGCGATGCTCTGGAGGACCGAGTCGCAGATGGGCAGGAAGTCGATGTGGTCGACCGAGCGACCGAGCGGCGACATAAGCGAGGGCGACGCCGGCGACGTGCTGAAGCCGCCACTGCCGTTGACCAACGACAGCGACGGGAACGACGACGGCGCGCTGGACGACGTCGACGTCGGCAGCGCCAGGTGCTCGGCCGACGACGGCGACGGCGACGACCCGTTGGTGGTGGTCTTGATCTCGTGCGTGGTCTTGGCGAACTTAAGCTTCTTCACGCGCTGGGTGGCGGCCGACGACGACACGCTCGACGACGAGGAGAGCGGCGACGACGTCGTGGTTGCGGTGCCGCGGGCGAGCGGGCCGGGCGACGACGTGGGTGACGGCACCGACGACGACGATGACGAGTGGATGTCGCTGCCACCGGCGGCGGCGGCAATCGACAGCGCCGACTGGCTGCGCGGGTTGTAGTCCGACGAGGGGCGCTGCGAGATCGTGCGGCGGAGCACGGGCGAGTGCGAGCCTGACAGCGACGACGGCGACGACGATGAGATCGACGAGCCGCCCGACATCATCGAGAGGTCGATGGCGTTGCGCTGGGAGGTGGACCGCATGAGCAGCGGGAACGCGGACTCGTCCGAGGGCCGCCGGAGGTGCGACCCGCGCGCGTGCATGCCCGACGATGTCGACATGAAGTGGCTGCCACCGCCAGCCGAGGGGCTGGCAGAGGTGGGGGCGGTGGCGGCGGTGGCGACGGCCTTGGTCTCGGCCGAGTGCGACCTGATGGACTCCTCCGAGGGGAAGGCCGACGACGACGCGCAGCTCTTGGAGCGGCTTCGGTGCTGCACCTTTCGTCGCGCGGACCCGGGCGAGAGTGGCGCCTTCGACAGCTTTCTGTCGTCCTCCTCCTCATCTGATGTTGTGCCCATCAGCAGGCGATCGATTCGTTTAGAGAATGCGATGAATGCGCATGGAATGCTGGGGCGTGGAGTGAGGAATGTATGGCATGTGGCATGCGGCGTGCATACCTTCGATGGACTCCTCGGTGGATCGAGAGATGGAGAAGGAGACCAGGGGCCAGATGTCCTTCGAGATGCGGACGTTGTTGCGGGTGGAGGCCAGCTCCGCGCGGATCTTGCGGCCCTGGTCCTCCACCTCCTTCATGGCCTCCTCGAACGCGTCCTCGTCCTCGGCGAACACGGTCTGGAAGCGGTAGAAGAACCGGCCGTCCTTGAACTTCTTCTTGCGGTCGACGTGCATGAGCACTCGCCGCTCGGCCAGCTCCCGGCAGGCGGCGATGCTACGCTCGCGCGAGTAACCCGTGTAGTTCATCACCCAGTCCACGCACTCCTTCCCCACTGCACCGCAGCGTGACATGCAGACCGCTGTGATCAGAATTCTTGCTGCACCGAGGCGTGCGCATGTGTGCGTGTGCGGTCGTGTGCGTGCGTGTGCGGTGGCGTGTGTGCGTGTGCGGTCGTGTGCATGCGTACCGAAACAGTAGTGATGTGTTTTGAGGTGCCACCGTCGATCTTTGATCGCGAGGCCACCGTCCTTGGTTGGTCGCGTTGCGTGAACCAGCATTTCTACAAACTACAGTCACATACAAATAAACAAATACAAACAAATAAATAAATGAATATAACAGCAATCCGCACATTGCGAGATGTAAAGTCGAAAGTGTGTAGGTACCTGTGGGGGAATCTCCACCATCCGCAGACCAATCGATGATCGCGACGTCAGCGGCAATGCCTGTCGCAGGGGTTCGCGGACAAAAAACACCACCAGCGCAGTGTGAGACAAAGCCAAGTAGTCGAGGCTGGCCGCACTTCACGACACACGCGTACGTGGTAGAGGTGGTGGAGCAGGCGGCGGGCCTGCGAGGGGTCGGGAAAGCTGGGCTGGCCGATGGCGCGCACGTAGGTGGTCTCCCCCTGCGGCTTCGTCACGGCGTTGAAGTCGAACACAAACTCCAGCAGCTGCACCAAGTGCCAAAAGAGAGAAAGCGGAAGCGAAAGCGAAAGCGAGAGCGAGAGAGAGAGAATAGAGAACACGTTAGGAACACACTAACTCACGGGTGATTGTTGAAGAAGAAGAAGAAGTTGCTACACGTCAACGAAAACACCGTTACTGAGGACGGAGAGTGACCATGACCTCTTCAGTGGGCGGGAACGCAAGAAAAGCAAACAAGAGACAACACCACAACAAAAATAGCCACAAACATATAAAGGATGAAGATTTGAATAATCAAACGAACGCGGTGACTTGTGTCTTGTGGGTCCCCGCTTCCATCTGCGTAAGAGTTGATTGTGTAAAGAAAAATCAAGAAATCCTAGAGTCCCACGAAAGTGAAAAGGGAACGATCGTTCCGAGGATGAAGATGATGAAAGGTCCTTCTCCATCAAAACGGAAGAGCCAAGGTCCCAATTTGCCACACATTGATCGACAGCGCAAAAGAAAACGATTTGTTTGGGGGGGGGGTAATAGGAGTTTGATGGAAGAGAAGAGACGAAAGTGGGCAGATGGGCAGGGACGTACCCCGAGGTAGGAGATGACGTGGGCGAGGATGCGGTCCTTGCCCTCCTGTCCATCGGTCCACTTCCTCTCCTTGTCCACCACTCGCCACCCGAGATTATCGAGGGCGCTCCCCAGGCCGATGATGACGGCCTCGAGCGGCAGCTGAAAGGCCCAGAGGACCTCGAACGTCTTGCCCGCCCCCTTCGAAGGGAATGAGATGCCACCGCCTCCACTTCCTCCGATCATCGAGCCCACTCCGCCACCGCCTGGGCTCGAAGCGGGCGACAACCGCCGCTCCGCCGAAGATGACAACATCTCTCGAGGCCTCTACGACGGCGCGGAGATCGATTTTCTTTTGTGCCTTTGCGTTCTTCCTTCCTCCTCCGCCTCGACTCGCTCCCCTCTATGTGCGTCAATCTCTCTCCACGAAGAACGAAGACGAAGCGGGGGGGGGCAGCTCTCTCTTTCTTCGTTCTTCTGTGTCGCGCTTTTCGGCCGCTTTGCGGCTTGCGGATTTTTTTTTTGCGGTCTCCTTCGTTACGTGTTTTTCGTTCTTGCACCCACGTGTGCAGACCTTGCGGCCCGACCAACCGGAGCTGCGACGAGCTTGAAAAATTGAACCTCGCAACCAGAAAGAGAAAATGAGTGTAATCTTGGCCGCAAGACCAGTTTGGCGAATTCATTGTTGAAAGTGAGGAGGAGGAGGACCAGGGTGGTGGCCACTACACATCATGGGCCGAGGACCTCGTGGAAGAAGTTGATGAGGTGGAAGTGGCCCTCCTTCTTGGCGACGTGGAGCGGCGACACGCCCGACGGGAAGACGTGCTCGGTGTTGGCGCAGAAGAGCTGCCCGCCGCCGCGGATGGTGAGCGTGTGCGGCGAGGCGCCGTGCTTGACCAGCAGGTTCGCCAGCGGCAGGTTCCCGAACACGGCGGCGACGTGGAGCGGCGTGATGCCGCAGTCGTCGCCGAGGTTGACGTCGGCCCCGCGGCCGATGAGCCAGTGGGCCATCTTGACGGCGAGCTCGGGACCCTTCTCGTGCGCGCAGGCCATCCAGAGCGGCGTGCGGCCCGAGTTGTCCCGCGCGTTGATGATCTTCTTCCAGTTGACCTCGCGCTCCTCGCGGCTGAGGCCGCTGCCGGCCTCGTAGTCGAGCACTGCGCGGACCTCGCGCAGCCCGCCTTCGCCCGCAAAGTTGTGCAGGGCCAGCATGCCGGCGTTGTTACGCAGACCCACGTCGGCCCCGTTCCGCATGAGCAGTCCGAGCTTGCTCAGCATGCCCATGTAGATCTTGTGCATCGGACAAAACGCCCCGAAGTGCTTGTTGAACAGCTCCTGCTCACAGATGCAGCCACAGAGAGATGTTGATGGTGAGCAATTGTGCGGTGTGGTGTGTGCCGTTGGCGAATTACCTCTTCGGCTTCGGGATAGTCGTGGATGTATCGCTCGTCCACCCTGTTCTCCACCCGCTTCCCAAACTCGCCGTCTCGAATGAAGTACGACACCTCCCTGCCCTTCTCCTTGCCCGGGAACTCGATGGCCTTCATCAAGTAGCGCGGTACCACCCGAGACATTTTGTGTAGCACTGGCGCGGCGAGTCGGGAGAAGGGAGGTCAGTCAACTGAAACCCTCTCGTCCCTCAAAAATGAAGCCACAATGAGGCGAAAAGAGCGCGGATGATGACGTACCGGTGGAACCGGCCCAGTCCTGGCTGTTTACACTCACCCCGGCCTGTATTAACATCTTGCAGGCCTCGTATGATCGTTCATTCTCGGAATCCAGAGCCAGCATCAGCGGGGTCACCTCGCCTGTGGTGGAATAACGCGCTTGTTAGCTCACCAAGAGCGCAATGGAAGGCTGGCCGGTAGAGATCTGTGCCGCATACCTTGCCTATCAGGCAACGCATCACTGGTAAGATTGGCTCCCTTTGATATTAACAACTTGAGCGTCTCCAACGATCTGCGCATCAAAGGCGGCAAAGATAAGTGTCAGAAGAACGCCACCAACGACCACAGCCATGTCTGGCGGTGGTTTGGGGGGGTACCCAAAATTGGCCGCCAAATGGAGGGCGGTCACCGCCGTCCGTGTTCCCCGGAGCTCGATGTCCACTGCCCCCTTCTCCACGAGCAGCTGGGCACACTCTGCAAAATTATTCCGCGCGGCCCAATGCAGTGCCGTGTAGTTGTCCTCGTCCCTCACCTGCGCCAGACTCCGCACCAACTCCTCGTCCGTCGCCGTCGCGTCGCCCACGCCGCCGCCGTTCCGCACACCCTCTCCTCCTTGTTCTCGCTCTCGCTCCCTCTCGCTTTCGGTCCCGTCTCGCTCTGCTCGCCCATTCGTCGCCCGATCCCCGCCGTCCCTCCATCGCTTGTCCATAAAGAATCGCAGCACGCTGGCTGCCGACCGGTCGTCGCGGCCCTTCTTGACCGCGAGGCAGATGATGGGGTTGCCGGGGAAGACGCGATACCCGCTGCTCAGCAGTCCGCCAAGGGTGGCCAGGTCGCCATTCGCCGCGGCCTCGTCCGCAATCCTGTCGCTCTCGCGTCGCAGGTCGATCTGTGCATCCACGAATGTCCGGTGTGTTGGTGTGAGCGCCAAGCGGCAGTTACTAACTTATTAGGAGGGGAGGGGGATACCGATGGTCGGTCGAGGTCGCTGATGTAGGCCTTGCCGGCATGTCGTAATCGGTGGTAGAGGTCCAACGCCCGGTTGTGCATTCCGAATTGCAGCTCTTCTTCGGTGATGGCAGTCATTAGGAACATCTGCATCGACCCATTGGGCAGCGTGATCGACTCCTTCGCGTACAGCTCGGCCGGAGCCCTGCAAACGGCGAGGAATGTTACCAATGACCAGCACCGCATACGGCATGTGCAATACACGCGCACTCCGGCGGTGGCAGCTTAGACAGTGGTGTACCTGGCGATGAGGAAGTGAGCGGTGCGATCAGGCTGCACGGGCATCCGCTCGAAGGTGGCCGCTCCAAACTGGTCGATCACTCCGCGCAGGTTGTAGTCGTCCATCACTGCCTTCGACACCTGCATTATCATCCATCACGCAAGAGGGCATCATGAGGATTGTGTGTGTTCACTTGCGCTTTACATTCCGCGCCACTACCCTGCCCGCCCAGCTAAGCCCGCGCGCTCGTTGGTACCATGAAGGCCAGGCAGTGGGTGGCCCACGATTGCTTGCCGCGGGTCATGACGCCGATCTCGTAGCCATAGCCGGCCCATCGCGAATCGAGCTCCAGCCGCGGCCGCAACGAGACGGCAGATGAGAAAGAGCCTCGATCGCCGGCGTAGACGGTGATTCCGTTGGAAGTGAAGATTTCGCCTCCCATTTTGTCATCGCCCCCTTCTATCATCGGCAATCGGTCCTCCTTGCCGTTGCCGCGTCGAATTCGGAACCGCTCGAGCCGGAATCGCGTCGGCATGTCGGGATTGGTCAGGCCTGATGACAAGGCGAGCCAGCAATCGTTCCCGCTGCCATTGTCTCCTCCATTTCCATCCAGCGTTGTGTTGTTCAAGCGCGTCCTGGCCTGCAGCAGGCAGCCCCCAGGCCAGAGCATCTCCAGATGCGGCAGCAGGAGCGGCTGTGCCTGGTGCAGTGGCAGGAAGGACGCATAGATGTCGTTCGTCCTCGCTGTTTGGACCCGCCGGCTGAGCTCCATCTCCTCATCGAGTCTCTTGTCTATGCGTTCTCGCTCCGTCGCCGCTTGTGGTCCATGATGGCCGCCGTCGCTGCCCAAAAGGGCCTGGTGCAACAGAATTCGCTTCGTCGCGTGAACGGTCTGCTCGTGCGACTGTTGGAGCTCGGATGTCGAAGTGGCCAGGTTGTGGAAAATGCAATTCTGATCGATTGGTGGCTGAGGTGGAGAGGCCGGTGGTGTGTAGGCCGCTGGTGCATCGCCGCCGTAGCCGTTTCCTCCGCCATTGGTCACGCCTTCCATCATCATCATCATGTAGTCCCTGCCTCGATCCCTCGCGCCTCTTGACCGATCGCCCCCTTTCTTCTCCTCCACGGGGGGCACCGATCGCTTTCGCTTGCGGTACATTGTCCGCACCGATCACCGCCGCACGTAATGTTTTTTTTTTTTACACAATTCAAGCCAGCAGGAGAAGCGATTGGTGGTCTTGCGAAGATTCGATGGAGACAGACGCGGCCCCGCGTTCCAGATGAAGAAGTGAATTTGATTTTCTCCTGCGGGCTTGGTTTGCGCGAGCCGTTTTGCCAAGACAAAAGAAATTCATTTCATTTCGCATTTTGGTTTTGGGTTTGCGAAACCTTTTCATTTGCGCAAAAAACAAAAGAGAGGAAATGAACACCAGCCTTCTTCTGTGCCAGCAGTCACGCTTGGGGCAGCGACGCGCTCTCCTCCGCGTCGGCGCGCAGGACGTAGACCGATCGGTAGTCGCCGTCGTGCACTCGCGCGAGCGTGTGGACCTCTCTGGCCCACACGTACATCCAGCTCTCGACCTCCACGTTCTCGTGGACGTGACCCTGGCCCATGCGCACGGTGACGCGGTCCCGTCGGTACTCGGCGAGGCCCTCGGGGATGCCCACCGCATCCTCGTACTCGTCCAATCCTCGCAGCACCTCGTCTCTGTGCTCATCGGGCACATCGAAGAGCATGCCATGCACCTGATGAAGATCATCATCAACATCAGCATCAGCATCACCAAACACGAAGCGATGTCACGATCACCAAATGCAAGGACCACACAAGGCAGGCAGAGAGCACGTACACGCTCGGCGGGATCGTCGGAAGGCACGACGGCCGGGTACTTCCGCACCTCGGACGGGACCGACACGTCGGTGGTCTCCTTCAGGCCCAGCAGCTGCTCCTCTTCCGTGCGCTTGTCGACGATATACATGCGTCCTGGCGGGAGGGATGAATGGCCGTCGAGGACGGTCACGACTCAGTCAAGGCCTCGCATCAGGACCAAGCACTTGGGACGGTCATGTGGCCACTTGGTGTCCGCTTGGTGTGTTGTTCACAGAACGGACGACGAGACGCCGTCTGAAGTGTGAAGCACAGGTGGGTGTGGAAGGTGATGTTTGATGTTTCATCTGACGTCGTGAAGTGCTCGCCCTTGGAGGGCGACACGGAGGAGGGCGTGGGTACCTTGGTAGTAAGCTGGTCCAACCGGGATGCACTTGCCCATGAATCGCTGGTGAATGCTGGCGTTGATGTCTGGTCGGAGCGAACCGTAGACGAAGACGCGGTGTCCCGCGGGAAAGGGAACAACAGTAGTGGCCGAGCTCATTGTTCTGTGTACGATGCCTGTAGGCCGATTGATTAAGCAATTAAATCTTTCTAAAACTGAGATTCATCAAGAGATGCGGTCGGAACCATGAACAGGGAGGGAAAAGATGCAAGAGAAGATGCGTGGTACCTTGTGGTGTGCGTGAAGCAATTGGCAAGCAATGACTGAACAAGAGGCGCCGACCGTGGGCAATGCTTGCTTGCCGCCGCATGGTACGTTGCCTGCCGTACCCGGGTCGGGAAAGAAAGAAATTCTCGGGAAATGGGGTCTTGGCCTGAATTTCAGTGGGCCAAGAGCTGGCGCAGAGCTGAAGTGACAGCCGCGGCCGTCGTAGCTCGCTCGTTGAGATGTTGAAGGAGGCAATCCAATGAAGTGTTATACTTGGGATCCCAAGTGGAAGTGAGTCGAACTCTTGGGTTGATCCACCTCCCTGACCCCAATCAGGATAATCACCACATGATGCGTGCCACTTCGCCCGATGGCCAGGCGAAGGGCCGTAGCGCGAAGATGTACAGCGTGGCCGCGTTGACGGCCACGAAGGTGAGGCACTCGACCGCGAGGCACGCCAGGTTCGCCTTGTCGAGCAGCGCTCCGGCGCCGTCGCTTCTGGGCTTCTTTCGCCGGTCCTTCTCTCCCCGGCCCTGTCCCGCTCTGCCGCCGCTGCCGTCCTTCGTGCACGTTGCCGTGTGCCGTGCAGAGGAGGAGGAAGAGGAGGCGCAGCACACGGAAGCGTCGATCAGGCCGGGCGCCGAAGGCATGGTGTGCAGGAGAAGGAAGAGGAAAGGGATGATGAAGTAGCGGAACTCGAGCAGCGAAGCCGGCACGAGCACCACCGCCGTGCAGGCGAAGTAGGCCAAGCGCCAGAGCGGCGAGACCTTGGTGCCTGTGCCGTAGGAATGAGAAGAATGCAGCGATCGAGTTAGCAACCAAAAGAGCTGACTCGGATCATAAGACAAGCTGACGTGTCGTGAAGAAGAGGTGGTGTAGGTGCGTACCGAGTAGCTTCCACAGGGCGAAGCCGGCCGCGTAGTAAACGAGAGAGTAGGCGTACTTGAAGTTCTCGTTTCTTCTAAAGAAGTTCTTCCACACGTAGAAGGGGTAGTGACGATTGTCCGCAAGGAGGTAGGGATGCGCATACCTGTTCAGATCACGCGGGTTAGCACGTGCATCGGTGTGTGTGTGTGTGTGTCGTGTGTGTGTGGCCATACGTGTAGTTGTGAATCAAGTAGAGTATGATCGGGAGGGTTGCGACCGCTCCGATCACAAAATGCACGGCGTTGTGCTTCACAATGACGGACCATCCGCGTCGTCGGACTCCGCCAACCACGCCGAGGAGCAGTCGCGGCCAAACCCACGCCGCGGTAAAGGCGAGGAAGTAGAACAACTGCACAAAGTGCAAGCGCGGGCTGTGCTGAGTGCGGTCGCCTTGATACATCGTGGGGGGGGGAGAGAACAGAATGTGAGATTCGTGGATGCTCAGTTGGAAAATGACGCTCGACACAAGGGAATCGGTACCAATGACGATGCCTTCGTTGAGGTACACGAAGACGAGAAACGAGGCCGCGAGCACCAGGAAGGTCCATAGCCGCGCGCAGATGGATCGACTATTTTGCACAGCAAAGCGGAGCAAACCTGAACAAACGATTGCGCTTCGTCAGTTGGCCACGCATTCACGCGCAATCGAAGGCCAGTGTGCACAGGAGTACCTAGCGTGCTGGCGGCACCGTCGCTGCCACCGCGGCTCTTGTAATATTGGCGCAACACCATGGAGAAGGCGATGAAGCACACCCACACGATGTTGGTCTGTCGGCAGGCGACTGCGAGGAATCCCACCTGGATCATACATCGCACACGCGGGCACACGGTCAGCCAAGAATGGCCCAACGCCGCACCATTGGTGCAACGCGCCTCGTCACGTCAAAAGTGTGAACGTACCAAGCCGCTGAGTGTGGTTCTGTCGCAGAGGGAGAGGTAGTAGCACAGAAACACGAAGAAGGTCGAGACAGTGTCGGTGTAGTAGAGGAAGTAGAAGAAGAACTGGACGGGGAATAGGTGCGGCAGCAGAGCCATCAGCACGCGCTGTGCCGATCGATAGCCGCGACCAGCACGCAGCGAGGAGGAGGTCTGGTTATGATGATAGAGCATGGCCACCAGTTGGTAGAAGAGGAAGAAGTTGAGCACGCCGAAGAGCGTGTTCATGCCGCGCATGGCCTCCACCGAGCAGAGGGACCAAGCGCCGTAGTTATGGTGGAGGCCCGCTGCTTGTCGCACGGCGTCGGCCACCTTGAACAGAAGTGCGAAGATAAAGTACCTGCAAACACCATGTGTTACGATGGCTATGACACGGTGCAGGCGGTGTGTGTGTGGTGCGACGTACAGTCCGGGAAAGGTGGTGATCATGGGGTCCCAGACCCAGAACTCGCCCCGGCAGTAGCGCTCGGTCTGTGGCACATGAAACAACTCGTCCTAGAGGGCACGTCACGAAACCAACCCTCGCTTAGTGGCATTGGGGGGGGGGCACGGCGTAGGGAAATAATAATAATACCATGTAGGGTTGGCTCCCAACGTAGTGGTCGGTGATGCCTGCCAGTGCAGCGTAGCCGCCCAGCAAGAGGGTGCCGACCCACCACGCCCCCATGCCTTTCTTCCTCTGTGGCACAAATTATTTTAAATTCTACTTTTCTTTTTGCTTTCTCTTATTCCTTTTTCTTGATTTTATGCACTCAGCCAACCTGCGCACAACGAAGCAAGATGCTACCATCGATGGTGCTCCATCTATCAATTCTGGTGCCTACCCTCTGCCAATCTTTCGCCCATCTCGTGTTGGTCTGCTGCTCGATGCGCTGCTGCGCTTGTCGACACATTTCTCAACTTTCCTTTCCAGTCCCACATTCGCCCGCCGGCAGGGGCGGAGCGAGCTTCAAGTAGGCCGCGCCCGCCTTGTGAGGAGTAGACCGTACTCTTCAGGATCATATTCCATAGTATTGAGTCTATAGTCTTGTATCCCTTAAACAAGACGAGCCCACTGGGTATGGATGATGACGCCTGTCCCTTGCTCCTGAGCGCGAAGTGCTGCGTTGCGCACACAGTGCCTGCATCGCCCCTCGGGGCCGTTGCATGGTCTGGCGCAACGCGTTGATGACCGTTCCTTTACACCGTAATGCCAAGGGTTGGGTGTGGGATGGAGCGAGTGGATGTCCGACCTACCTTTCATTTTATGTTTTGCCACCACCCGACCCGAGTACTGACTACCATCATCATCAACAGGAGAGATGTGGGGCGATAGGCGGAGCCTAGGATCTCGCGAGATTGGCGTGTGTTGCGCAAGGAACAACAGGAAAGGAGAAGGCCACCAGCCACGAGTGGTGTTTTTGGTTGCCGTGCGTGATCCGAAAAGGAAGGCGAAGGTACTTTGATGTGGTCGCGCACGTGTTCCTCTAATCTCGGACACCTCTGACCTTGAGTGTTGCTATTAGGGACCTGGGGCGTGTGGGGCGCAAATGGCCGCAGGCAACACCAGGAGACAACAAGGTGAATCGAACACACGCAACACACGCCCAGGGCTGCCGGGAGTGAACATAAGCATTAAGGCGCGGAGACGATGAGGGCGCTGAGCCGCAGCGACTGATCCACCGCACACCACACACCACCATCAACTCCTCAAACGAAAAGATAGACGAGAAGAAGGGGAAGAGATTGTTTGAAAAAGGAAGAGATTGGGGGCGACCATAGACAGTGCAAAGAGAAGAGGAGGAAAGAGAGAGAGAGAGAGCGGGAAAGATGATGGAAGAGGAAGTGACGATGCTGAGGGCGCGCTCGCGGTCGCGCGGGAGAAGCTACTCGGATCCGCCGCGGCCGATGGACGGGGATCTGGGTCCCTTCTCCGCGTCGTGTACGCTCCCCGTCTCGCGCATCGGCCCGCCGATCGCCCTTTTCATCCGGCGAAGCAAGGACTACTCGCTCAAGCGCGACACCGAGGAGGACATCGGGGTCGAGGGGGCCAAGTGGGTGGTCCACCCCGCCAACGACTTCGCCGAGCTGGCCGACAAGCCCGTGACAGAAGATGACTGGGAGATCGTGGCCATCGAAACGGCCGAGACAGCGAGTGACAGCTTCAACCTCCTCCCGGCCCTCGAGGAGAAGGCGGTCGCGGCCTACGACGAAGAGCAGGAGGTGGAGGAGGTGGAGGACGACGAGGAGTGTCACGGGCACCAGCACGAGAGGGGCGTGTTCGTGCTGGACCACATTGAGGGCACCACGCCGCCCGCCTCGCACTCGGGGGAGACCTCGACCGAGTTCGAGAGCGGGACGTGCCCCTCGGTGGACTCCCTGGAGGCCGTGGACTCGCTCGTAAGCTTCACCCCGGAGACCGCCGGCGAGTGGGACGAGCTGCACCACCACCAGCAACCCCCGCAGCAAGAAGCCAGCGGCGGCAAGCCCGGGAAGAAGAAGGAAAGCGGCAGCGGCGCGCCCACGATCAAGGACAGCAAGAAGGCCAACAAAAAGGCGAAGAAGGCGAAGGACAAGGGCAAGAAGGGCAAGACGAAGGAGCGCAAGGCGGGCAAGGTGGCGGCGGACAAGCTCTCGCCGCGGGAGCTGGCCCACCTCGTGGCAGCCAAGACCAGTAACCTCATCGGCGGCGGCGGCAGCGGCGCGGGCCGGCCCAAGGTCCCACTCATCCACACGCAGCAGGCCGTCGCCAGCCACAACGCGGGTCCGGTGTCCACCGGCTCGCTCAGCGACAGAGACTACCTCTCCCGCAGCCGCATCCACGCCTCGACTGTCTCGTCGCCCACCGGCGACCCACCAGCCGGTAACGGCCACCACCGCCACCACCAGGACCCGCTCCTCGGAGCCTCGGGCAGCATCTCCGAGCGCAGCCTCTCCATGCGGCAGCCCCACAGCCACGCGCACGCCCACAGCCACAACGACAGCCACAACTGGGACAACCTGCCCGAGCGGCAGAAGACCAAGATCCAGAAGGTGCTGGGCGTGGTGCCCGAGCGATCGCACACCAAGCTCATGAAGCTGCTCGGCGAGGACATGCCGCTGGCGGCCAGCGGCGGCCCGGGCCTGGGCGTGGTACTCCCGGAGCCGTCGCCCCGCATCGACGTGCCGGCCGCCGCCGCCGCGGCGCCCGAAAGGCCCGCGGGAGGCGAGTCAGCGGCAGTCTATCACCCGGAGCTGGAGCGTCTGGCCCGAGACGCCGTTCCGGTGCACCGCAAGCGCACGCGGAGCATCAGCTGGAGCCACTTCTTGGGCGCGGCGACGGACGACGACGATGACGAGACGACCGAGGAGGAGGAACCCCTCATGGCATCGTCGCCGTCGAGCCCGCAGCCGGCGCAGCCGTCCTGGTTCGCCGCGTTCCAGAAGCGACTGATCGGGGCCGATGCGGCCCAGGGCCACGCCACCTACCGCATTCGGCGCAAGCGGAGCGTGTCCGACGCGCGCAAGGCGGCCTCGCAGACCGGCCGCGGCGATCTCGATGACGACGGCGGTGGCACCATCATCATCTCGCCGGCCAACGCACGCCAGATGAACATCGACTTCCGGTGGGAGTGGACCGGCGGCGATCCCGTCAGCCAGTTCGAGTTCTCTGCCAAGCTCGGCCAAGGGTACCAATAATTATTGTCACTTATTTTTTATTTATTTATTATCACGACTGATTTCGACACCGACACGTCCAGAGCTTACGGCAAAGTGTACAAGGCCAAGCACAAGGAGACGGACTTCCTGATGGCGATCAAATGCATCAACCTGGACGGCATCTCGCAGCAGGAGTCGCGGCAGCTGATGAAGGAGATCGACGTGCTCAAGACCTGCCGAAGCACCCACATCGTGTCCTACTTCAGTTCGTGCTTCCGCAAGAACTGTCTCTGGGTACGTCCTTCGCCCCCTGCCGACGTCACGGTTCGCTGAACGGTTCGCGGCGGCTGCTGACCACCGCTGGCACAGATCATGATGGAGTACTGCGGGCTCGGGTCCGTGCAAGACGCGATGAGCCTGCTGGCCGACAGTGAGGGCGAGGAGGAGGGCAGTATCGGGCTGTGCGAGGAGGACATCGCCTACATTCTCAAATCCGTCGTCTCCGGCCTCGTCTACCTCCACTACAAGAAGATCATTCACCGGTACAGACCGTGTCAATCATCACAGTCTCGCGCAAGCGCAAGCACTGAACAAACCGCCACCACACACACACACACACACACACACGAACAACATCATTACAGTGATCTCAAGGCGGGTAACATCCTGCTAACGGCCGACGGCATTCCCAAGATCGCCGACTTTGGCACGGCGGCCCAGCTGCGCACGGCCTCGTTCGGCTACAACGCGATCATGGGCACGCCGCTCTTCATGGCTCCGGAGATGCTTGACGGCGACACCAGCGACGTCAAGTCCGACATCTGGTCGGTCGGCATCACCGCCATCCAGATGGCCCAGGGCCGCCCGCCCTACTATAACCTCCACCCCGCGCGGGTACGCCACACATCAGAAAAACATACAAACACACAAACTTTTTTCTATATATCTCCATCTTTTATAATTGTAACATTTATTCTTAATATTTATTTAATGGACCTACGCGGTACAGGCCATCGTCAAGATATGTATGGATGCGAGCCCCAACCTGGACGACCCCTGGAACTGGTCGGAGGAGTTTGTCGACTTCATCTCGGTCTGCCTCAACAAGACCAAGGAGCAGCGGCCCAGCGCCGCCGAGCTGCTGAAGCACCCGTTCCTGGCGACCGTGCCGCCCGGCTGGAAGATGGACAAGCTCATCAACAAGCTGCAGAGCGCGCGCAAGGTGGTCAACCGCAAGCACAGCACCGCCTACCACAGACAGGACTCGGTGGTCGATCCGTTCAACGTGTCGCCGCCGTTCGACCTGGTGGCCGCCCAGCGGCGGTACTCACAGTCGGCCGCCACCGCACAGCCGGTGATCAGCAGCAGCCTCGCGGCCAGCTCGCTGCCTGCGTCGCCCAGCAAGCAGCCGGGCGGGAAGCCGCGCGGCGCTGCCGGCTGGTCCAGCAAGAAGGAGAGCCGCGAGCGAGACCTGGCCGACGACGAGCCCGGCGGTGGTAAGGCCGGCGGCAAGAAGGCGGGGAAGGAGGCCGAGGAGAAGGAGGTCGTGCGAATGAACCCCCTGCGCGCGCCGGTGCTCAGCACGCCTGACGGCTCGTCGCCCCAGCCCCAGACACAGCGGCAGCCCAGCTGGGCGGGTGGCCTGACCCAGGCGGAGGCCGCCACGCTGCGACCAGCCCCCACCGCGGGCTCGAGCTCGGCTGACGGCCACGAAGGCAACGCGGGCCACGTGCGAGACGAGCCCGCGCAAGCGGCGGCGACGACAACGACGGCCAGTCACGCGTTGACTCTCGACAGCAGCGGCAGCGGCGGCCACGTACCGACCAATGTGATCTGCGACTTTGTGCAGTGCAAGGAGGCCATCGCGACGCACGACGTCATCCGGTGCCTGCTCCTGGTGCCCTACACCAACGCCGGCGCCGGCGCGGGCGGCAGCGGCGTGCTTGGGCGGGAGTCCAAAGAGCAGGAGCTACGGCAGTGGAGCGTGTGGGGCGCGGCCGACGACGGCTCCCTCACCGTATGGAACACGTCGCAGGGGGAGCCGGGGCGGCCGATCACCAGCGCCAAGCAGGTCCACGGCGGCGTACAGGTCAATGCGCTGATCCTGGTGGAGAACCGCGTGTGGGCGGCTCTCGACGACGGCGCGATCTGCGTTTGGAACGCCAAGGATCAAACGTTCGTCAAGAAGCTGATCGGCCACACCAAGTCGCTGCGCTGCCTGGCCGAGGTGCAGAGCGGGGCCAACTCGGCCTCGTTTCTAGGGCGGAAGAGCTCGCTCGTGGTATCCTCCGGCGACGACACCAAGCTCTGTCTGTGGAACGCTCGCTCGGTACCCTCACTCTGGGATCGTGTGTGTGTGTGTGTGTCGTGTGTGTCGTGTGAATGTTCTAATGCTCTTTCTCCGCGGATCTACTAGATGGCGCTGAAGTCCACTGCAAGCATAGGTACGGCCGTGGTCTCCCTGGTCGCCGTGCCTTCGGCCCTCTGGCTGGGCACCAGGGACAGGGAGATCATCGTACTCAAGTCCAAGGACAAGTACACCCGCAAGTCGCTGGCCAGCGCGCCAAGGGAGCGCGTGGCCGTGCCCAACCGTGGTCCCACGTCGATGGTCTACACCGGCGGGCGGGTGTGGACCACGTCGGACGACAACTGCGTGCACATATGGGAGTCAGTGCGCGGCTCGGCGAAGCGGGCCCAGACCCTGCGCGTGGACGGGAAGGTTACGTGCCTGGTGCGCGTCAAGAATCACGTGTGGGGCTGCGGGCCGCTGGGCATCTATCTCTGGCACTCCACGGTACCTCCTCTTTCAACCGCACTGTTGCGCGTGCCGTGCATGTCGTGTCGTTGGTCGTGTCGTGTCGCGTCTGCACAAGCGTTGACACAATTGTGTGGGGAACGCAGACGCTCAAGTACCGCGGGAAGATCAGCACGGAGGCGACCCTGTTGAGCACCATGATCCAGGTGTCGTCGGCTGCGGTGTGGAGCGTATCGCCGAGCGAACCCTCCATCCTCGTGTGGGAGATCACGCGCCGGCCCTCCTTCTTCAACCTGCCGCCCATCTCTCAGGTCGCCATCCCTCCCGCCCGTTCGGTACTTCACCCCCCCCCCCAATTCTCTTCGTCCTTTTTTTTTGCTCTTCGTTTTCGTTCTTTTGCCTCACTGGAGTGGAACAGGAAATGGCGAATGGTGACAGCTTCGAATGGGCCGGAGAAGAGGACCTGCTGGTGACCAGCACGGTGGGCACGCGGCTGTCGACATCCAACAAGCTGCCGACCAAGCGGCCCCCGGTCGTGGCCGATCTGCCGCGGCGCGCCACCCTCGCCACCGCCGACTCTGGCACCGGCTCGACCAGCTCGGTCATCACCCACGCCGCCCGCGTGCCCACCGTCAAGTTCTCCATATCTGGCGACGGCTCCGGCTCGCCCCTGCGCGACGGCAGCGGCAGCGCCCAGTTCGTGCCCACGCCGGTCAAGCGGCCGACGCTGCTCACCGACCGCGAGCGCGAGCGGTCCGAGCGGGAGCGCGACCGCCTCGACCGGGTCGAGTCCGGCAGCTCGCGCCAGCTCTTCCACCACCTCCATCACAACCACAACCACAACCAGGCCAGCGGCGCAGTACCGTTGGCGGGCAGTAATCGGCAGCAGCAGCTGCACGGCAGCCGCATTCGGGTCGCGACCACTACCAGCAGCAGCGGCACAGCGTCGCCACCGCCAGCGTCGCCGCGCGACATGTCGACATCGGCCGAGCTGGAGGGGAGCGACATGGATCCGGCCTTCTGGGTGGACGACGAGGACCGCCAACCGCGCCGGACGACCACCGGCGGCGGCGTCAGCAGCCACAGAGAAAGAGTGGAAGACAACATGGAAAAGGGAGAAAGGGAGAGCAGCGGCGAGGCCAAGGCGCGCAAGGCCAGGAGCGACGACAGCTTCTCGGCCGAGATCCAGCGGTCGGCCCAGTGCATGACCCCGCCGCTCGACGCCCGGCGCCGCCGCAGCACCGACGTGATGTCCAAGTGGGAGCGCGGCCTGCTCCCGTCGCCCTCCACCTCACCACGCGGCGCCGACAGCCACATAGTGGGCCACGCCTCGCCTCCGCCGCTGCAGCGGCATCACCGCGGCAGCAGCGCCGGCGGGCGGCCGACGCTGTGGGTCACCAGCGCGTCGTCGTCGGGCCTCCTCACAACCTCCGCCGACAACAACAGCAACAGCGGCAGCGGCGCGGGCGGCGGTGGTAGCAACAGCGGCCAGGTGGGCGCGGTACAGGGTGGGAGCAGCGGGAGCGGGAGCAGCAGCGACGACGAGGCCTCTTCGGGTGCCCCGCTGGCGTTGAGCGGGACTCCCCGCAGCGGCTCGGGGATCCGCCCGAGCCTGCTCTCCCGCAACCGCATGCCATCACCACCGACCCCGGCAGCCGCAGAAGAGAGCACCACCGCTGGCCAACGCCAAGCCACCGACTGCCCACAGCCGCGAGCCCACACGGCCGCCGACGCTGCTGTCGAACTCCACGCCGGCAATCCGCCGCCGCCGCTGCTGCCCGTGGTGCACGCGACGGCCGTCGCACCAGAGACCAGCTCCTCGCGCCCGACGCACAGGAAGACGGACCCCAACGCGCTCAGCCATGTAGCCCTGGCGGCCGTGCGGAAGCGGATCGCGAGCGAGCCGGCCGCGGTGGTCGCTCCGGAGCTGAAGGGGCGCCGGACTGACGAAGGTGAGGGCCTCGCGGCCGCCACCGGCCTCATCGCAGCCGCGGACCAGCCTGTACAGGGCGCGCAAGCGCCGACGCTGTTCCGCGGCGGCGCCCCGGCGATCACGGACGATATGGGGCAGATGACCAGCAAGAGGAACGCGCCGGGGCGGAAAGACAGCAAAACGGCGAAGAAGAAAAAGAAGGCGTCGCGCACGCCGCGCGAGGAGGGCGAAGAGGGCGATGGCGATGGCGACGCTGCGACGACGACGACCACAACGACGACACCCGCGCGCCTGAAGGGCATCGCAGGCGCCGAGGACGACCATGGCGATGAACCGGAGACTAAGGCGGCGACTAGAGAGCGCAGCGGGAGCGCAGGCAAGAAGCGCGGCGGCAGCGTGCGGAAGGGGAGCAAACGCGGCGACTCGTCGAGCAGCACCGACGAGGAGCCCACACGCCCAAGGTCGACCGCCCTCGTCACCAAAAGGAAGAACAGCGGCAAGGAGAAGCAGCGACGACCTTCGCTCGTGGCCCACGACGAGAGCGACGGCGAAGACGAGCCAGGCGGCGGCAGTCTCGTAGCGCCGCCGCGGGTCAAGCGCAAGGGCTCGCTGGCGGCCACCAGCCCGCGCGGGCCGCCAGCCCCGAGCCCGATGCGCAACAGCAGCACCGGCATCAGCGGCAGCATTTCGGCCACCAGTGGCAGCGGCGGCGGCGGAATGAGCCCGCGGCACCACAGCTGCGGGAGCAGCCCCACGCCGCCGCTGCGGGTCATGCCCCGCGGCCTGTCCAAGCTGCAGGTGGTGACGTCACCGCGCGGCGTAGAGCGATCAGCCGACGATGACGACGATGACGACCACAACCGCTACGCGTACTACCTGGAGGCGGCGGCCCTGGCTGCGGCTTATGCACAGGAGCAGGAGGACCGGGAGTCCCGTGATCTGGTGGTGCTGGTGCGCTGCGCGCAGCTGCCGGAGTGGGGCGACGACTTCTCCGAGCTGAGCCTGAGCCGCGAGTGTAAGACCATCGACGCGCTACGCGAGGCCCTCGCCAGCGAGTTCAACGTACGACCCAATTCAGCACACATGTATGCGTGTCGTGCGTGTCGTGTGTGTGTCGTGTTGACACACGTGTGTGATATCAGGTGAACAAGGAGTCGATCGACCGGGTGCGCAAGCTGCCCAACATCGTTCTGTGCCGCGACCAGCACGTGACGCGCCTGAAGGGCGGCGAGAGCCTGGAGATCACCCTCAAGCCCTCCTCCTCCTCTTGAAAAGCAGCTTGGCCCAAACAAAAACCACCCCAATTTTGCCTCCCTGCCAGACCACCTTTTTTTAATAGCCAAGAACGCACTGCTCCACGCTCTGAGCGCACCAGAATGAAAGAGAGACCTACCATCACTACCAAAAGAAAAGTGGTGCGTTGAAAACGATGGAGAAACTCCCCGCCATGTTCAGACCAAGGGCTTGGAAAACTCCGAAAATACCCGGGAATTCGACTTTGGGCGACTTTGGGAGTTGTAGTACGTTCGTTTTCTATCTTCCTCCTCGCGACGCCAACTTGTGCACAAGATCATGGCCTCGGGCGTGTTCGGCGTGGTCACCGCTCTCCTGCTGGTTCTGGGTCTTGGTGCCTGTGGCTCCGACGCTGTAAACTGTGCGTAACACGTCGACGAGATACCAATGCTTGCGTTAACTTCAGTTTTTTCTTGTGTGGGGTGGCGCACACCACAACATCTCTGCGACAGGCACGGTGTGTTTGTCCGGCGCGTGCGACGCCACCACCATCGCTGGCGGCATTGCCCTCACGACAGCCGACGGCGAGGTGGTCGACGTTGCGCCGGGCATCTATGACCAAGAGGTCCCCACCGAACTAAACCACACCATCACGCTACGGTGCCCCGACCCCTCCCTCTTCTTTCTCTTCTTCTTCATCGTCTTCTTCTTCACCTTTGACCAGGCAGAGATAGTTAATTATGTGATGGTCGTACTTATTCTTGTCTCTCCAAACTCCGACCATGACAACCCAGGCTGGGGTCCACGGCCGCGGACACGGTGACGGTGGTGCACGCGGGCGTGTGGCTGACCGTCGCCAACTCCTCAACAGTCGCCCTGCAGTGGGGCAAGCTCGTGCTCCAGGGTGGTACGCGGGCACAACTCGATCTCCCGTCCCTAGGGACCAACAACATGACCGATGACCGGGCCAGACCATCGGACATATAACTTGGAACCTTATTTTGTTATGTGTGCAACACAGCTACGATTGTGGTGGACGCGGATGGTGTGCTCAACCAGTTCTCGGACATGGTCTTCGACAGCGCGCAAGGCCCAAGCGGTTCGTTCCACTGTGTTCGGCCCGGTCTTTTTTCCAGAGAGAGGCTCACACCATGGATGTGTTGTTATCAATGCAATCTACAGCAATCGCGATTCTTGCAGACGCTGCCTGGAGGCAGCGTGGTAATGTGCTGATCAGCAACACCACCGTGACAGGTACCGTACCTGGCAGAACCCTCATGACCCAATCTTTCAGATGTAGCCACTGACGATGATGAGGCTCTTCTCTGTTTTCATTTCCCGGCACAGACACACTGGTGGACTTGGTGGGCGGCGTTTGGCAGCAATACGGCAACGCCACGCTGGTTTCGACGCACGGGGTCTCGGGTACAAAGCTGCTCTCTCCTCTCTCTCTCTTTGCCCCGCAGCGCCTTCTTTGCCTCTTCTTCAGCTCACTGTCGCGTGCAGGAGTCAGGTTTAGTCCCGTCGGCTCCTTCCCTGGTCGGTGGCTACAGCGTGGAATAGGCAACATCAGCATGACGTCGTCATCATCTTCGCCTAATCAGGTTGCAGGTGGGAACCCCTCCGCGCAGACCTGATGCATTTTATAAATTTCCTCTCAACTCTCTCACATTCTCTTGGTCTCTCTGGCAGCTGTGGACATGTCGGCCGGAGGCCTGTGGATCCACATGCTCGACGGGCCTCGCAGGCCCCATTCCTACCTCACCGTGTCTGGCAGCGCGAGCAGCGGTTCTCTCCTCTTACCAGACACACAAATCGCGGTGATGACGTCGATGATCTTATCACGCACGGCCCACTAGGAGTGTACTTGGGCGCTGACGGCTCGTGGGGTCAGTACGGCCTGCTGACCGTTCAGGCCAACAATCACAGCACCGGTACCCCTGCCGCTCTTTCGATCGTCAACAACACTCATATGGACTGTTGACGTTGACACATAAATGTCAATGTGCGTGCAGGCGTGGTCCTGAATTCCACCGACGTCTGGGTAACGACCGGGTTGGCAACCTTTGATCTGGTTGAGAGCACAGGTGATCACATTCCTCACATTGCATTGTGTTTCGTTCGTGGTGTCCTGCGATCGTGCGCTTGTCGTTAGCTGACGCGAGACAACTACACGTCTGCCAGGAATACGGTTTGTCGGGGACACCTCCAAACTGTCCCAACAGACAAACATCAGCATTACGGCCGGCACCAACGCTACTGGTACTGCCCAGCAGCAAGCCCACTTTCGTTTCCCTGCGCTAAAACATCGATGCAGGAATCGATTTTTCCAACGGCGGCTCTTGGCGGCAGTTCGCCAGTACCACGATCAAGGCCACATCAGCCACGGCGACAGGCACCACTCACCCTCGAACTGTTGTTGATTGGTTGCTTTTAATTCTTTCAACCGAAAAGAACAGAACTCACTTTTGATTCGGGAATGTGTGCGCAGGCGTCATGTGCGCCTCGTCGGGGTCGTGTTGCGCGCAGGTGGGCTCCCCTACGCTTGTCAAGATCTCCTCCGCCCAGAGCACAGCAGGCCGAGAGAGTACTTTCATCACATGACACACGACACAGGACACACACGACACACAAGACACACGACACACGCGACACGCGACACACGACACACACGACACACGCGACACTCACGCAAGCAACGCAACAGACGACTGCGCGATATCGTCGTCCCCGTCGCCCGTGGCATCGGTGGCGCCTCTGGCTGGCAACACGACGGCCTCGTTCGACGACAGCTCGTCGGCAGTCGCCATCTCCAGCTCCTCCGCCGGCGCCTCCTCTTCTGTGGTGGGCGTGCAGCTGAGTCTGAGCGGCCTCCAGCTGGGCTTCACCGACCTTCACGGACTGAACGTGACCCGCACCATCACCAACTCGACCGACCCCAACAACAGCAACGCCACGACCTCCACCTTTGCCTACACGGCCCGCATCGACGCCGAGACGAGCCTCGTGCAGTCGTACACCTACTATGCAAGCGCCCGCGCGGTGTCGTTCGCGGGCGTGGACTTCACCGTGCGCGCGGGCAGCGTCAAGTGGTCGTTCAGCCTCACCACCGCCTCGTCGCCCAGCGCAACCGCGAGCGTGGCCGACGCCCAGCGCAACGGCTTCTCGCTCCGCTATCGCCTCTCCGACCTCGCCTCGTCATCATCGTCGTCGGGCGGCCCGAGCCGCATCACCCGGCGGCGCAACACACCGCACGAGGGCATGACCACCTTCTTCGTCACTCTCTCGGACAACGATGTGGTGGCCCAGGTGGAGGTGCTCAACGCGGCGGTCATCGACGGCGTTGTGACGACGCTCGGCCGCATCGAGCTCGTGTTCGACAACCTCACCGCCGCCGGCAATCAATCGGGCGGTGGCTACTTCCTGGAGCTGGGCTTCCCGCCGTTCGAAAAGTCGGTGGCGTACGACCCGAGCCTGGGCCTGGGCTTGCTGCTGGGCCGCTCGTCGGACGGGTCGCCGTCGTCGTCGACGGACGTGGGCCTGATCGTGGGCGTGGCGGTGGCCATCCCGGTGGCCGTCGTCGTGGTGCTCGCCGCCATTGCCGCCGGCGTCGTGTTGGCCTGGTGGCGCCGGAGGTGGGCCGGCAGCTCGGCCAACAACGACGCCGTCAACTGGACGCTGGACGAAGGCGGAGACCAGCTCTGAGTGGTTCTTTTTGTACACACAAATATTTATGCAACGAAAGGGTGGCAATTACTGTAGCCAATGGGCTCAAGCCAACATGCTCTTCAACCCACCAATAGCCACTCACGGCCGCGGAGAACAAAGGGGCATTGTGTACCAACAGACACCAACATCAGCACAAGTACACGATGCAGCATCGGTCGGTCGCCTATGTGGCCGTGGGCCTCGTGCTAATGATGGCGGCTCTGGTGGCGACGGCAGAGGCGGGGTGTGCCAACATTCCGAGGTCGGGATGGCACAAACAGTACAGCCTCAACTTCACCAACAACGACTACCAGCACTACTTCCGCCTCCAATACTCGTGGAACGACCACAACCCCGCCGGCCAACAACGCCACTTCGCCCTCGGCCGCGTTGGTATGCTTTGTGTTGTTATTTCATATTATTTTTTATATTCCAATTATTATTCATCTTGACCTAAACACTTTGTATTATTGCCATTTTCATTTTTAACGTTTTAACGTTTTGTCGTGCAGGTGGAAGGCCAGGGCTGCATGTCACGGTGCTGCCCAACGACCTGCCCCACGAGAAGGACAGCGCCACGGACCCCAGGTCGGAACTGCGCGATCAGGGTACCAGAGCGCTGACTTTACGCATTGCGGCCAGTGATGGGGTCGACAACTGGGGTGATGGTGGTGGTTGAAATTGCAGTGACCCCGCTGACGCTGGAGCACGAGTTCATGTTCGAGTGGTCCTACTACCTCGACCCGGACACCGACTGGGCCAACATGAAGGCCTTCATCCAGCAGAACTTTGGCAAGGGCGCCGCCACCAATCTCGACGTTCGCAGCGGTACGCGTTGCGTGAGTGCGCGTGTGAGCTTGTGCGATCCCGAACTGAGTTTGGTGCTGATCGCGTGTGTCGCGTTGTGTGCGGTGTGTGCGGTGTGTGCGGTGTGTGCGGTGTGTGCGGTGTGTGCGGTTGGGTGAAATGGTAGGCCAGTACGAGTACTCGTCGCTGATCAGCGGGAGCGCGGGCGCCAAGCGCCACTGGAACCTGGCCACGTGGATCGCTTCGCCCACCAAGGATGTGGGCCGCTGGGTCGACTGGCTCATCCAGTACAAGCCCTCCGCCACCGACGGCTACGTCAAGGTGTACCGCGGCGACGCGGGCCAGAGCTGCAAGCTGGTGTTCAGCGTGACGGGCGCCACCATGTGGGACAACTTCAACGACGGCTACTTCAAGCTGGGCGTCTACCGCCACATCGACAACGTGCTCGCCTCCCTGTGGCTCACCGACTTCACCCTCTCCAAGCGCCAGTGACCACCTCTACCGGCCTGTTGTTCTTTTTCCCTCTTTTTTGTTTTTTAAATATAAAAATGTACCTTTTATCTATAAAAGAAGAAATTACGAAATTATTATTTATTTATCACATAAAATATACATGGCACGATTGGGGGAGGCACCATGACGAGCAGAGCGATCGGTGGTGAACGACCATAGATCAAGAGATGCCGAGCTTCTTTCGCCTGAGGATCTCGGCGTTGACCTTCTGCTCGGCCTCGTACTTGGCCACCATGAAGGCCTTGTACTCGTCGATCTCCTCCGACGAGCAGGGCGGCCCCTTGGTCCACTTGGGCACCCTCTTCATCAGGTCGTCCGTGCTCACGTTCTCCAGACTGTCCGGGTCGCCGCTGGGCTTCGGCGCCGCGGCCGCGGGTGATGGCGCCAGGGCTGCGGGCACCACGGGCGTGGGGCTGACGGCCTGGGGCGCCGGGGTGGTGGTCGTGGTGGTGGTGGTCGTGGTCGTGGGTCGCTTGATGATGTAGCCGGAGAGGTCGGGCGCGGGCTTGGGCGTGCTGTCGCTGATGCTGAAGCCGGTCGGGCCGTCACGCTTGCGCGGGTCATCGATCTCAAAGTCCGAGTAGGTGACCGGCCTCGCCGCTTGCGTCGGCCGACCCGCCACGGCTGCTGGCGGGGCAGCAGCGGCGGGAGCGGGTACGACGGGGGCGACGGCCGGTTGGCCGTATAGCATGCCGGCCGCTTGGCCCGGGGCGCCCACTGTAGAATGGTGAGAAAGAGTCTCAACAAGTGTGCGAGGAGGTCCAAGTTGCAAGGAAGGGATTGGGTGTGGCGAGGTGGATGCGTACCGCCACTGAGGGAAATGGCGTCGAGGAGGGCGTCGAGGTCGGCGCGCGAGCGGATGGTCTGGGTGACGCCCGGGTCGGGCAAGTTCTGCGCCGGACTCCACAGCGGGATCTGTGCGCACGCGCACGCACACGCAACGTCCAGAAAAGCAGCGACACACAAGAGTGAGGTGGGAGGATCAATGGCTTTGCCAGGTCAACGCGCTCGCGATCGGTCGGGAGGAGAGGCAAGGAGAGGGGGCAAGGTCACGTCGCGTACCGGCGGCTCGTAGTTGAGCTGCTGCAGGGCACCCTCGAGGAAGAGCAGAGCGTTTGATAGATTCTCGGCCTGCAAGGAGGGGGAGGAGAGGATTCACTTCATGCATTGAGATAATGAAGAAGAGGAAGGAAAGATTGGCTACGCGCGGCGTACCTGGGTAAGCCGGATCATGATCTGTTGGGCCTGTGCCGCGGTGGCGGGAGGCTTCTTCTTCTGTGGCAGATTGACCTCGAGCAAGGCCGCGATTCTATCCAGCACAGCCTCACTATTTCGCAAGGGGGTCTCCAGCTTTTGTAATGTGATTGTCATAATCTGAGATTGGAAAAACAGAGGTTAGGAGATCCCTTATGATTAGTGGTGCACCTCCTTTCGAAAGAAGAAGAAACGCACGTACTTGATTGTACTTCTCCTGCACATTGTCCCCCATCTTGCCTTGTCTTCTTGCGCAACCAATTCAATTGAGAAATGAACTTTTCTTTTCTTTTCTTTAATGAGACATTTTTTATGATCAATAAATAAGAGGATCACGTTGTGGTGGGTGGTGATGCCTTCACCCAGGGTGGTCCGTGGTGAACGGACACCTGAGAAAGAAATACAAGAAAGACAAGAGAGAGAAGTGAAGAGAATACAAATGATAATGATAATGATAATGATAATGATATTGATAATAATGAGAAGGGACTGCCCAGATCTTGTGGGCTTGCGTTTCAGAGGGCGGGCATGAGCTCCATGAGGCGGTGCCTGATGTCGCTGAGGCTCATCACGACCGAGAGCGGGGTGACCAGGTCGAGCAGGAGCCTGATGGTGGCCACATTGCGCCCTCGCTGGAGAATGTCGAGCAGCGGACCCCGCAGGAAGATGTGGATCATCGACATGCACACGCCGCGCAGCGGCACGTCGAGGGTGGCAAAGAGCTGGACCAGGTCCTCACAGGCCCGCTCGGCCCAGCTCTTCTCCTCCGCCGCGTCATCGAACCCGCCCTGTCGGGCCTTGATGCCGTTGGCTCCCGAGTTGTGATGGTGGTTGGGCTGCGGGCGCTCATCGGCGCGATCGGCCTCTTCGCCGACCGCTACAGCGTCGTCGTCTCCGCCCTCGGACTTAACCGTCGTCGAGTAGCCGTTGTTTTCGCCCGTGCGCCCGTTTTGTCGGTCGTGCGGCGCCCCGCCACCGCCGTCCTGGTCCTCGCCGCCGGTTCGCTCGTTTGCGCGCGGACGCTTCAGGCCACGCTCCTCCGCGCCGCCGTGCTGGGCGCGGTCGTCGGCCAGCTCGCAGTCGAGGCAGGTCTTGTATTCGACGTCGACCATCATGACCCACACCTTGAGGAGGGTGGTCGCCACGCGCGGCATGGTGTTGAAGTCGCGCTCCTGCAGCACGCGCTCCATCTGGCCGTTGAGGTTGGCCAGCCGCTTCCCGATCCCCTCGAGCACCTGGCGCGTGTGGTCCCGCTCCTCGGGTCCAGCCTGGACCTCGCCGCCCTCGGACGACGGCGAGCTGTCGCTGCCACGCTCCTCCTCCTCGCTGTTGTCGCTCCTGTTGGAGCTCTCGCGCTTCCGCTTTCGGGCATCGTTGTCGCGGTCTCTGCGCCGGTGGGTCCTGGCCTCGTCCAGGTCCTGTCGGCGCCTCTGGTATGCGCTCAGGAATTCGAGAATATCCTGTGTAACCGTTACATGGTAATAGTGTTGGTTTATGGGTTTCGCCACGTGAGCATGACATGCGCGCTCTATTAAGTTGTCGGTAGTCGTACCAATAGCTGAGAGATGGTGGCTTGCCAGATGCCGCCCTGGGCGCGCATTCGTTGAAGCAGGCTTTCGTGATAAGTCCAGTGATCGGGGTACGACGGACATCTGTGCAGTTACATTGATCAGTGTAAGCCCACACGACACGCCATGAGCCATGGTGGAGGCGTAGTGATTTGTTTACCTGGGATACTTGTTGAGCGCTTCGACCTTCTTCTTCCAGTCGCGCACGTCGTAGGTCTTGAGGAGGAAATGGGTCTGGAGGGAGCTCACGAACAGATCGGAGTTGAGCGCATTCAGCTGTCCACACTGCAAGCAAGACCCGAAACCGACATCGAATTGTTGTTGGTCGTCAGTAGGGTGAGTGCGATCGAGGGGGCAGCAAAGGGAAGTTCAACCATCTCGGAGAGCAGGGTGTGGTAGTAGGCCGAGGAGTCCTTGCCGGTCCACCAGTGGGAGACGATGGACATGGGCTGCAGCACGAACGCGATGTCGATGGAGGTCTCGTCGAACAGGTATCCCAGCTGACTCCGCGCACGATTGAAGAACTCCCGCGAGATCTCAAAGTCGCCGTTGTTGAACGCCGCTGGAGAGATTGGTGTGAAGGCCCTCACTGTGAGTTGTGTGCACAACCAACCGGTCGGGTGGTCATCGATAAAGTACCGATGCTCATGGCCAGGAAGGACGACAGAGCCAGGCTCTCGCGCCCCACGAGCGGGCCGTCGGTGGAGATGAAGTGCTGCAGGTTGTCTGGCTCGAGCGCGGCCGGGTTGATGGGCTGGACCGCCCAACACTCGTTGAGGTACCACTCGCGGTACCTGTGGTGTGTCGGTCGTCATTCCACACATAACTCGCGTCAGCGCCAGGCCACACAGCAGGTACGGCGGCCCAAGAGGAGGGAGAAGAGACGACGCACTTGGAGACGCGCGACATGAGGTCGAGGTGGGCGCTGCTGTTCCACAGCCCGGCTGTCCGCCGGTCGAGGGAGAGGGAGGGCAGGCTGCCGGTGCTGCCCAGCGAGAGCAGCGGCGACTGCGTGAACGAAGGCGGCGGGTTGTGGAGCAGGTACTGGGGCGGCGGGTACTGCAGCGGTGGGTATTGCGGCGGCGGCGGCTGCAGGTGAAGCGCCTGCTGGTGGCCGATGATGGCTCCGGGCTGGAAGGACGAAGGAGGAGGAAAGCTGCCGAAGGGTGGGTACCCGCCGGCGCCCAGCGCGCCCACGTGCGGCGGCGGCAGATGATGTGAGGCGACGACACCGTTGGGCGGCGGAAGCAGCGGCGGCAGACCCATCATCCCGGCCGCTCCTCTGAGGGCCGGTGGCGGCGCCAGCGATCCGCGCGCCATCAGTGCTGTACCCAGATAAGAGATTAGCAAGGTCTGCGCCGGGTTTCGGTCAGATCTGACCGCAACACGCGCACGTGTTGTTTGTGCCCGCCGATGATTTGTTCGTTGTTGGCACGTGTCTCCTCCGCCAACGTGCTTCAAATTCCAAGAACACGAAATTTCAAAGAGAAAACGCTAATTCAGCAGTAAACTCCGTGCCGTACAACCGGGACACGGGCAGCAGTTGTCTACTGGTAAAAGTGGTCGCCGTGTGGCGGTCATGGTGTGCGTCATTGCTGACCGATGGTCCCATTACGCCAGACAGGTCACTCGGGATGGTGGTGCGGGATGGGTGATGGAGGGGATCGTACAGGTGAAGGAGGACGGCGGGATCTCGTCGGGCTGCGCCGCAGGGGTGGGCGTGGAGGCGGGCGACGACCCCTTGCGGCCGAGGTTGTAGTAGTGGTTGAAGTTCTCGCCGCGCGGGCCGAGCCGCCGTACGGTGATGTGCGGGAAGACCTTCTTGAAGAGCTTGCCAAAGGCCGAAGGGCACATTACCTCGATGGCCTTGTGCTCGCAGAAGCCCTTGTAGTCGTCGTACACCCCGCGGGTGCTCACCGCGCTCTCCTTGCGCTCCTCGAAGGCGTCCGTCAGCCTGCGCACACGTGACAGTGTGGATGGTGGTGGTACAACACCGCCAGGGTTGGGATGATGTAAATGATGTGAAGAAATAGAGAGTGGTGTTGTGTTGTGTTGTGGAGAAGAGAATGAGTTAGCCAAAGGGTGCTGTCACCACACGCACAAAACTCACCACGCGCCATCTCTTGGGTCCCAAATAGGGTTGGGACATGCTTGCCGCAGGAACTGGGGCGACAAGATCCCATCGTGGCAAAGATGTTGGGGGGGGGGCAAGCAGAGTAATCTTACACCCTCGCCAAAGAGATATATATATTAAAAAAAGAGTAGAAAGAGGCGTGATGGAAAGATGGACGGGTGTTGATCTACACCGATCCAATTGGCTGGCGTCACCCAACCACATCCCAGACCAACTAAAAAACACACAACACATGTGCGCGCGTCATGTGTGGACGACATGTGGAGAAGGGGTGCAAGAAAAAAGAGAGGGAAGTCGAGTGCAGATAGCAGACCGAAGGCCATAGAAGGGAAGTCCTCGCCCGCATGACCGATGTGGTAACGATAAAAACAACAGACAAATAAATGATTGAAAATGCATCCACGACCCCCCCCCACTGGGTGGAGAGTTGGTCGCAAGGGTGTAACTACACAAGATGGAGCTTTAAGTAATTTGAATAAGAATAATTATAATAAAACGATGATGGCGTTATTGGCGGGGTGCGGCGGTGAGGCCGAGGGCCGCTGGAGGAGGGATTGGGATGGTGGAAGTAGGTACCAATCCTTGACAAAGGCGAAGGACTCGCTGCGGGATAGCACGAAGGGCCTGCGGGAGATGGCGTAGCCGCTTGATGAAGAGGCAGAAGAAGACGATGATGATGGTGGCGAGGATTTGGATTGTTGGGCTGAGAAGGAGCTCGAGCGCTGGTGCTGGTGCGCGGAGGCTCCACCGGAGAAGGAGGCGCTTCGTGGGGATGAAGTGGGGAAGGAAGAGGACCGCGGGGGTGTCGTCGACGCGGATGGTCCGTAGTGGGATGGCGACATGCTGCTGTGGAGGGGACTGCTGGATGAGTAGTGGTGGTTGGGTGGTGGGCCGCCGCTGGGGAAGTGCGGCACCGGGAGGGGTAGCAGTTGATGGTGGAGTTGGGGATGATGTGTTGTTGTGGTTGTGGGTGCGCCTAGGCTGTGGATTGCCGCTGCCGCGCTTCGCTCTTCCTCCATGGCGTGCCGTTCGTCTTCTTGTCTATCTGTATGCAACT